CCTGTAAGTCTCTCTCCCTTTTCTCTTTTTCTTCCTCTCCTGCAGAGGAGGGAAGGGTTAATAGGGAGTGTCTGCTGTCCACTTTAAGAGCTATCCCAGCCTTAAATGGTGACAAGAGTGCAATCTGGGAATCTGGATCTCTAATTTGTTAAGCTTGAGTATGTCTCTCAGCCTAATTCCCTAATTGCCGTAATGCCCACATGCACCACTGAGCTTTAATGAGATATATGCCTAAATAAGAAACAGAACTCTTAAGACCCTGATTTACCACTGAGTGCAATGAAAGTTTTCTGATTTATACATTTTTTAAAAATCTGAAATGGAAATATTAATCAAAAAAGTCAACAAGTCTACTTTTTTTTTTTTTAAAAAAAACCCCTATTTTTCTACAAAAACGTATACATGAGAACCCATGGGGGAAAAATATTTTTAAAGTAATTCTGTCCCAAGTAGACATATACACAAGGCAGAAAACAATGCTAACGAAAAGCTGCATTTGCTCCTAAGTTACTCAAGCTTTATATCAGTCTAAACCTACTATAGCCAAAGGAGACACAAAATTAGAGAACCATAGTATTTATTGAACCCACAGGGACCTGATCCAAACATCACACAGTAGCAGAGTCCATAGTTTCATTGTATTTTATATCTTTCATTTCCAGTCATGACTGAAATCAAGAAATCATAGAATCATAGAATGGCTGAGGTTGGAGGGGACCTCTGGAGGTGACTTGGTCCAACTGCCCTGCTCAAGCTGAGAGCTGTTTGCCCAGGAATATGTCCAGTTGGCTTTTGAATATCTCCAAGGATGGAGACACTGCAACCTTCCGGGTAATCTGCTCCAGTGCTCGGTCACCCTCACAGTGAAAAGGTGTTCCCTGATGTTCAGATGAAATCTCCTGTGCTTCAGTTTATGCTCATTACCTCTGTCACTGGGCATCACTGAAAAGAGCCTGGTTCCATCTTCTTTACACCCTCCCTTCAGGTATTTATATACTTCGATAAGATTCGACCTGGGCCTTTTCTTCTCTAGGCTGAACAGTCCTAGCTCTATCAGTCTTTACTCATGGAGACATGCTCCAGTCCCTTAATCATCTTACTAGCCCTTTGCTAGTCTCTCTCCAGTAGCTCTCTCTCTTGTACTGAGAAGCGCAGAACTGGACACAATACTCCTAGCCTCACCAGGGCTGAACAGAAGGAAAAGATCACCCTACTGAAGCCCAGGATACTACTAGCATTCTTTGCTGTACTGGCACATTATTGGCTTATGTTCAAATAAATAAGAATGATGGGAAAATAATAACTATGCTTTTTCTTACCAGACTAAAGAACAATTTTGAGCTTCCTGCATTCTAAACAATGATTCAAATTCATTTTTATGGTACACAAGACTAGTCTTTGATCATTGCAAAGAAAAAGACCAAAGAAGTAGTCAATGATGTTTCTCTCACACACAAAAAGGCCACTATCATTGCAAAGCATTACAATGCTACAGTACTAGCACCAGAAAACATAGTTTTTCCTAATGATGTGCTACTTCAAGCTCTGTGCTCCCCCTTCCAGCAGTGGAAGTGACTCAGCAGTCTAACAGATTTCCAGTGAAGTTGGAACCCAAAACACATTCTACATGCTGAGAAATTGTCTCTCTAAATTCATTTATGGCTTTCTCTAGCTCTGAAAAATCCAAGTAAGAATTTTATTTTATTTCAACGGGATATGAATAAGGTTTTGGCTCTACAGAAGTAGAGAGTTTTAAAAATAATTCTATTAAAACAGTTACATGTTAATTTTTTCATTTTGCTGCCAGAATTTACTCATTGTGATTCTTAGGGAGATTACTTAGGATATAGTTTCAAAATTCAAGGTTTTTTTCACGGGTTGAATCATTCCTGATCCTACTTTCCAAAGGTGTTTGATTCTGAGTTTCCTAGCTGCTGACTATTAATAAGATTGATTTTTTATTATGTTATTATTTATGTTACATGGCATTCAGTGAGAAAAGAACCACACAGTAATTGCCTGACAAATCTTTATTAAAATTGAGATCTGAGTATTAATTTCTTTTACTTCTATTGACAATTTAAGCTCATTGTGATGTTACTAACTGGGCATAGCAAAGAATAATCTCAGTCTTGTAGCATGGTAAAAAAATACAGCTCTGACATGCCTAACCTACATAATAAAACTACAGTTATATAACCTCTTAGTCCCAGCCTCTTCCTGTTTTCTCTGTTGTCTCCATTTCTTTAGTTTTGATCACACAATCATGACCTTTAGAGGTTTACAACACTAACACAGTAGAGTACATTTACTTACAGTCTCACCCCGCTGTCCTGGGTGCCCAGGCAAGCCATCTTTTCCAGGTGGCCCCTGAAATTGTAAAATACGTATATCAAAACATTTCTTAGCCATGCTTAATTCTGAAAAAAGTGTGCAATTAGCTGTAAGACTCTCTGATCTCTTTGTTTTTTCTATTCTAGTCTTCAGTACAGCTTAACTGCTCCTGTATCAGCTAACTATGATTTTAATAATACATTTTCCTTGTGTCCTCCCTGATGTGTGTTAGCAATTGCTTGGAGAGTGACTGTTAGGTTGTCAAATGCATGTTCAAAATGGATTTCTGTAAATTCAGAAATTGTGGAAAGTTCCTATACTTCCCTTCCATTTTTCTTTGCTTCATGACTCAGTCAACACAAAACTAAGCATTACAGGAGTATTTGATGAGACTTCAGGTTTTGGCATTGGAAATAAAAATAACAAATGCACAGGTGAAGAAAATCACAGGTGGTTTGACGCTTCTGTATTTACTCCACACAAGCAGAAACACATTGGAAGAACAGTATAACTAGTTCAGGCTGCAGCTCAAATGTGCTATTACTTCTGTACATTTCTGTTACTAATGAATGTCTCTTTCCTTTTTCTTTTTTCCTCAATGAATCAATTGTTGAAAGAAAATATACACCAGCAAAGTAATATTTTTCCTAAACTCAGTCTGTCACCTGGACATTGACATCAACATACTAGATTTGCAGTTTAGTATATTATGCTGAATGTCATATGAGCTGCACCAATGGTCATTTTGAATATGTGAGTTCTTGTCTTAGCCATAGAGCTCAATAAGCATGCTTGTAATCTATACATAAACCATCCCTTAAATAAACCTTCAAATATTCACTTCAGAAACATTGTATGAAAAATAACATTCCTGTTGTTGCACATACTTAATTAAAAAGATACTTACTGGAGGTCCCTTTGGTCCAGGGAATCCAACAGGTCCCTGGGGCCCTTGTGGTCCCTAGTATAAAAGCAATCAAACAAGTAAAGTTTTACTTTAGCTGCCATGACACTGGATTGAAAAGTTTGTTTCAATTATAAAATATATGAACTTCAATTATAAAACATATGAACTCTGTAGATAATGTCTGGTTATAAGTTTAAAGCCTTAGCTCCACTGCCATAAATATTAGTAGCAACAGTTCACATGGATAGACATTGGAGGGGATTTCCTGAAAGCAGTACTGCCTGTCTAGGAATGCAGTAAGAAAAAAGAAAAACTACATATAGGAAGTATATCTGCATCTGACCCCTGAAACTGTGCATAATAAATTAGGAATCAACTGTGATTAAGAAACATTGTCTTCTGTGTTGCATAAAACATAGGAATTAATTAATAGTCTAGAGATCTTTTTAACTTTCAGTACAACATTCATCTTTGGCAGTTCTTACATTCTGACAATATTTCAAGTCAGTAGAAGAGTACAAACTTCCAAATAGAATAAACTTTCCAGAGTTACCATGAACTAAATACAACAGTCTTGCTATCATGAAAAATAGTTGAGGTAGCTGAAAAAAACCCATGTTGTACAAACATTTTATTTATATTGTTTTGTATATACACATATATATATGGAGAGGGAAAATTTTCATGCATCATGGTTTTACAAATTTAGTGAAAGATGATCATGTGAGATAGTGGCATTGTGTATGTATATGTACAAGTATATACATATACATGTGTACATACTTGTATGTTCTGATGCATCTATACACATAGATACTTACACAAAGTACTAGCTTACATGACTGTTTCTAAAGTTGTCTCCAAACAAAATGGAGGCTATCTTTCAAAATTTATTGCTGATACGCTGAAAGGGACTATGTCAGCTTATTAAAAGAATTTTTCCTATTTAGTTTTTAGTGTGCTAAGTCAAGGAGTAGCAACCTGAAAAACCCTATTTATTCTACAAGCTCCCACAGCAGAGCCATGTACTCTAGTCATATAGTGCAAGACTTTAACCTGTTCTATTTTGTATACGATGTGTGGTTTTGCTAAGACATCAGCTGTCAAAATATGTTAGAACTGTTGGTCTGATGCAAAAAACTTGAAGCAGGAGACCACATCCAAATTGTGCTACCCTTTTGCTCCTCTGATAAACCGCCAACTGTTGCCAAGTTCCATAAACCTCATTCATTAGATCCCAGGCTCACTTCCAGAGCATGGCTGCCTCCTGTAGTAGGCGAAGCAGTGTGCAAATAAATGTAGCTGTGGGAGAGGATCTCTTGTGCCCAGCCTGGAAGAATTTGTCCTTAAGTGAATCTTATTCCAGGGTAGAACTTGATTATACTAATTCTGAGTCACCTCAGAAGTGCTAGGCAAAGGAAGAAATCTTTGTAATCTTACTGCACTATCTGTCATTTTTACTTTCTCTTCCAAAACAAGTGTAAGGTAGTTTCTGAAACCTCCGTAACACACAAATATGTTCCATATGAGGATTTGTTGGGGTTTTTTTCCATTCTGCTGTCTCTGTGAACAAATGACCTTTCCTCATTTGCTTCTGGGTATAACATAAAGCATAAAGTTTCCCCCAAAATGGAGGACTTTTACAGAGGAAAACTATTAAAATTGACTCAGCTACTGTACAAAATATATGAAAGAAATCGCTCCCTCTCAGGAATCGGGTTATAAGAGCACAACTTAAAGTTTTACTGTTGCACCTTCTTTCTCATAAATTTCCACTGTACTTTGATCCTCACATCTTGAGGCTTTTTAAGGAAACAAGATTAGCAATTTTTTTGTTCACAATACAGCTTGCAGATTTCAAGTCACTGGACTGATGGATTATGTGAGAAAAAGCACTAGAATACTAAGAGCATGTTATCAAAATTATGTTTTCGTTTTTGTCATTAAATTTCATTTTAACAGTAGCTACACAGGAAAGATTATTTAATGTTTACATGTCTGGTACCTGAAACAGTCTCATCAAAGTAGAAATGACAGTTTTATTTTTTAGTTGACATTCAATCCTATTGGGAAGCAAATAGATACCTCACACTTATATTACACAAACTGTATGAGATGTGGTGCTCTGCGATTCTTCATCTCTTTAATCAATTTCTCTCCAGGGATACCTTCATCTTGGATTGATCTGCTTGTTGTTTTCAGTCCCCCCACAGCTTCTCTTCCTCATAACTTCTCGGAGCTGTCAGCAAACTCCTTCATGAGGCTTTGCTATTCACCTTCTGCTAGTCTGCCTCTGATGTTCCCCCTCAGTGTAAAACAACCTACAGTTCCTTTCCTGGACTATGCCTAGTTGTCTGCACCCAACGTCCTAGTTAACTCATTCCTCTCTTGAATCCCAGCTTCCTGCCCCTATGTCTCTCCCTCAATTCCTGTTTCACCCAAATTTTCTACTTTCTCCTGCTGTCCATGTTCCACTTGGTATATTGTCTTTTGCTTGATACAGAGGTACTTTCAACTTTTTACTGCAGCCTCCCTTGGAGTGTTGCCTTCCATATGTACTGGCTACAGTCTAGTCCTCCAGTCTTCAACTTTCTTTCTGTTCTATCCTACTTCTCCTTACTGCAAGAACCACTGTCCTGCAGACATGTGCATTCCTTTACATGTATATAGCAGACTGATGTTTATTAATACTCTGTTTGCAACTGTTAAGGACAAACAAGACAAAATTAAACTTAATTTCTTTCTGCAGACACACAAACTGAAAATTTTAGATTTCTAGAACACACTCACGCCATGCTCTTGTTATCATTATTTTTATGGATGTCCTTATCTCCAGTAATCAACTCAATCAAACCATGTGGTCTGATCCTATGGCCTTTTTCCTTTTTCAGTTTGCTTAGTCATTCTAGCAAAACCACTCTGCTGTTGTTCTGCTGATATTGTTACACCAAGTGTGCATGTATTTGGCAAGGAAATAGTGTGACAAAGTGACATTTTGGAGCACGGGAAAATGCACAGGGAGCTCCATCCTGAAGAGGAAGACTTCTGGAGGTCACTGGAACTTCCGGGTGGGTACCAGGAAAGGATTTATAGAATCATAGAATCGTTATGGTTGGAAGAGACCTCAAAGATCATCAAGTCCAACCGTCTACCCAGCGCCACCATGGCCACTAAACCATGTCTTGAAGTGCCACATCTAAACTTTTTTTTGAACACCTCCAGGGATGGTGAGTCCACCACCACCCGGGGGAGTCTGTTCCAATGCCTAACGACTTTAACAGTGAAGAAGTTCTTCCCAATATCCAACCTGAACCTCCCCTAGCACAACTTGAGGCTGTTTCCTCTTGTCCTATTGCTAGTTACCAGGGAGAAGAGACCAACTCCCACCTTGCTACAACCTCCTTTCAGGTAGTTGTAGAGGGAGATAAGGTCTCCCCTCAGCCTCCTTTTCTCCAGACTAAACAACCTCAGCTCCCTCAGCTGCTTCTCATGAGACTTGTTCTCTACATGAAAAAGGTTAGCAGTTTTTTCAGCTTTGCAAAAATACTTTGGCAGAGAGCATGTCAACTTGAACTATTTGAGTTGGTTTTCAAGTGCTGCTATTACAAATCTGATTTATTAATATTGTTTTTCTATATACTGCTGTGTAATGGGATGCCTGTATATTGGATCTGTGTATTGATTGGTAAGATAATAGCAAGCAGAAAAATTTCTTTTAGCAAGCACAATAGGATTTCTCAAGCATGCAGAAAGTAGGTTGAAGGGAATTCTTAGCGGATCAGAACAAAACCAATCAGCTGCTTCAACAAAGAAGCTTCTGGATGTGGCTTGAGTGGTTTGCAAATCCAATAAACAAGCAGTAAGCTGCAGTATATGGGGCATTCTTAAGATCATAAGCTGATAAGTACAACTGTAATTTGCATGGATATATACAGAGGGCTTGGATGTAATACAAAGTGTGTATGTATTCTCTGTGTCCTATATGTACAGAACTGAGCTACAGATGGAAGAAGCTTTCTTCAGCAAACTTCAGCTACCCCATTCATAACTTTATGAAAAGCATCATTGGAATTGAGGTTTTGTTAGTTACTCTAGTCAAAGAAGGGCAAAGACATGAGAGGGAGAACTAAAAATAAAACAACCTGCCCACTCTGAAATAACACTCCTACATAGTGGGAAAAAAAACAAATAGCTTTCACATACCCTTTCACCTGGTGGGCCAGGAGGACCATCATTGCCTGCAGTACCCTAGAAAGGAAAGAGAATATGTCCAAAGATTAGACCTCTATTAAAAGAAATAGTCTGTAACCAATCTGTAGTGTGCTTGACAATTACCTTTGGACCTGGTTTGCCAGTGGGACCTCTGGGACCTCTTGAGCCTCTTGGACCCTGTCAATTTAACACAGATGCACTTGATGATAATTATTGGATATATAATCAAATCAAAATAATTCTTGACAGTATAGTGGAGGCAATTAATATAGGAAAGCCTCTAAATTGTAAAGCAAAATTACATACTGTTGGTCCTCGCTGTCCTCTGGGGCCTGGTTTGCCATGTAATCCCTGTAGAGAAAAGTTCACAGAAATCATCTTAGCAGATGCTGTATTTGTGAGATAAAGTTTTTTTACTGAAGTGGAGGCAGAGTGCAACCCCCCCTAGGTTTAAATGTTATTTTATCTTTAAGTATCTACTTTGCATTTCAATTTACAGAATCATGGTCCTTGATAAAATTGATTATCTTTCTGAGTTTACTGAGACTTGTAGCTAAATGCGCTAAATTTGCCTCAGTCAGACTCTGTCATAGGCATTAGAACGTTTTAAACCATGTTAAAATAGTAGTGAAGATGGCATGCAACAAGCAGAGTTCCTCTGCAGTAGTATAAAGGACTTGGCGTAATTTCCAGTGTAATAATAGCCTTGGAGACAAAGTTCCCAGGTTGCCATGGACAGCTCCACAGGTTAATAGAGAAAAGAAAGGGCAAGCCTGTCTTTTTCTATAACAGAAATAGGGACTGTAACACCTACCAGCATTCTGCACACTTGCACAGAGGTACAGAACTTGCCAGAATACTAGCCCTTAATTTTTTGCTTCAATGTATCTCCTAACGACACTCAACAGATTTCTTTCCTTAGGCTCTGCATTAGTATTGCTGTGCCTTCTAATGCAAAGAAGCTTAAAATTCCAGAGAGTATTCTTCAGGTAGAAAAAGGAATGTGATGACTGGCACTTTCTAATCTCTGAGGTAAACACAACAGCAACAGAAAATCAGCAGAGATGTTTTAGCATAAAGCTTGCTTTTATTGGAAACTAATTAAATGCACACACCTGTTTTCTTACGGGTTTTCTTCTGCTTTCTTTCTTTTCTTAATATTGATTTTATTTCTCTTATCAAAATAAAAATTTTGTGTTGTTCTTAAAATGCTACACAGCTTATGAACTTCTCAGGGATGATGACTATCTTTCCTAGTACCAGTATGCATGGTAGCATAAACCACAATGATATCCCTTTAGCAAGATTAATAATAATACCTGATTAACATTACAAAATGTATAATGTGTAATATCAGGCCCTTTATGAAGGCCTGATAATGGATCAATATAATTAGATTTTAATAATTTTGTCTGCTTTTTGATGCTATCATTTTGCTTGTTTTTTAAATCTGATATCTTTATTAGCAGTCATGTCTCATTTTTCGCAACAAGGATGAACTGAACATTGTTTTATTGATTGTGTCTGTCCATAACAACGTATCTTTATCTTAGCTAAATAATACAAGAACAATTTAAACCATACATAAACAATGCAAATGCAATTGGATTTCATATATTTCATCTTAAAGTAATGAATTTCTGATTTTGTGCTGTAAATTGAAATGGATTCTTAAGAACAATGATATACATTACTTCAATTTGACTTTAAGTTGCTATCATCTATGAATTCTGACTCATGCTCTTAATTTCATCTTCTTCTAACAACATATTCTGCTATGTTCAATTAAGCTTTAGAGACAAGAGCACAGGGACCTTCTTTCTAACCTACATTTCATTTTTATATTTTGAAGAATATGCATAACAGATTTTACGTCACCTGTTTCAAGTAAACAAAGCAGCAAAAGCTGTCATTTTACATCTATTTTTTTAATAGTACATTTCTTCATCTTGTCTGGTATATTTTGCATTTTTGAAGCTCAGCCTATAAAAAAGCTTGTGGCAAATCAGAATACTTATGAAATACAAGTTGAATTTCCTTGAGGGACATTGCATGTAGCAGGATAATTCATGGGATACAGGAAAATAGTCCTTGCCAACTCACTCAGCTATATTGTCAAAAAAGATGCTTCAGCAAAGGTGATTTCTTTTCTTTTTCAAATATATGATTATGGTAGCATACACAGTGAGAAAGTGTCCGAGTTCCTGTATATTTAGATTAATACCTTAAAGAATAAGAACTAGTGTGTCAGTATGTCCTGTTTTACATAACTGTACAGGTTCATCTTAACTGGTTTTATAGTTCTTTAGACAGTAGCTTGTATCCTTAGGTTTCAGTGACATCCCAGAGCACTGAGTTCCAAAAGTTAATTGTCATGCAAGCATGAATTATCATACCCTTGCACCTTTCTCTCCATTGGCACCTGGAAATCCTGGGAAACCAGTTGAGCCCTATGTAAGAAATCAATGCAAATATCAGAGGATATCAATAGCAAAACAATAGTATAGCCAACATTTAATTTATACGCAAAGCATATCTCCAAAGTCATGTACATTGTACACATCAAACTTGCAAGTGTGACAGATATGATGAATAACTGTAAATTAACTTACCATAATGCGTCAGATCCAGAATGCATTAAAAAAAATCAATGTACAGAATGGACATTATTTGTTATCTTATTAGACAATAAAATATTCATTAAATCTGCACAATTTTTAAAAGTAGGAAAGAAATCAGCAGCAACAGCCCACTAGAATAATGGTATCATAACGAAGAGGAACAAACAAGGCCTTGTTGCCTCACAGTATAATAATTCTTTTACAAAATAACTTCATTCAAAATAATTGTAAGGTGTTGCCACGTCTGAACTGCGGTGTGGTCCTCTACTCACTTTACTGAGCTGTAAATTAGTTCGGGTGCTTTATTCACTGTGAGCTGACCACTGGCCAGTTTCATTTAACTGATGCATGCAAGTTGTACATGGGCTTATATGGTTATCTTATAAGCAGAATTTATGAGGAGATTATCTGACTTAAAACCAATTCCAGTCATTATTCCTCCTTCTCCTTTTTCTCCCCTTTCCTTCTGCTAACTGCCCAGTCTAATCTGAACAGTACTATTTTCTTTTTTATTTCTGGTATACAGGTTCAGAGGGACAGCAGACTTGTTACCTGCCAAGGTGCTAATTTGTCATAATGGTCTTGGGGTCAAAGAGGTGATAGACTTGATAAGATACACTTTTAAGTGACTGGAGATGAAAATCAAAGCAGTGTTTGGTTTGGTCAGTCATTAAAACTACTGGCCAGACTCCCTGTTCTGATAATGCATCTATATTTGTGCAGCTTGCTGTTAGTATTTTAGTGGCAAATAAAATGCATATAACAAAAACTTAAAATAGATTTTCTTGTTGCTTTTCTTTGAAATGTCAATAAGCATTTTTTCCTTTTTTCTCTTTTTCTTACTTATGTTTTCCCTTTAATGAATCTCGTTTCACACAATCATTCCAATTATCCATTAATGACTTAGGGGCACTACAACTTCACTGACACTGATTCTAACGAAACCTTGGCTGATATTCACTGGTGGGAGAAAAGTAAGAGATTTTATTTTCTTTTGTTTTCTTTCTTCCTTTCTTTTTTTTTTCCTCCATTTTTAATTCTTCACCAGTTATAACTTAAAATGTAAATAAAACTGCGAAAATTCTACTCTGTGAAGCCCAAGCATGTTCTTTATAATTAAAAGGCCATAGGAAGAAGCAAACTCTAATGATTGGGCATTAATAGGGATGACTTGGTTGTAAATATCTTATACATATGTTACTTTTTGCAATGGTGTTAATCAAGAGACACTGGATAGGAGGAAAAAACATAGTGAAAATTATCAGATAATAGCAGTACTCTGAGAACAATTCTAAGAAAAATCATGAAAAGGAAGTAAGTAACAAGAAAAAGAACCGTGTGAACCTTCTTGACAATACTGGCACAAGATTTCATATTTGCTTTACACAGCTAATAAGTTTTTTTGCTGCTGCCTTTTTTCTCTCTCCCTTATGTTAATTTGAACTGGACTGTGAGTAAGTTTCAAACCAAGTTTCTACTCAGTTGATGTACTGTAGCTGTCATTACTCTTTCTTGGAAGTTTAAGCAACAAATTAGAAGAACAAACACTGAAAGCAGCTTGAGAACTATTTTCAGTTTTAATGTGATAAAAATTTAATGTAATGAAATTCTTGATCAAGTCTGCTGAAAAACGAATCAATCAACTTTTATTTGAAGTGTTACATCATTTTTGTTCTTAGAACTGAATAATGTAAAACCTCTTTGATCTCAGACTTTTCAAAAGACAGTTCTAAAGGAGAACAAAAAGAGACACTGAAATCTCAGATATTTGAGTTAAGAAACAGAAGCAAAAAAACATGTCTCTCAAGGTGAATAGTTTTCTTTAATACTTTCCATAGATGGTTTTGATATTTTTCACTAACACAGAATGTTCAATGAATAAGCATTCTTCAGATAGTTCATTTATTTGACTGGAAAGAACCAAAGTATAGGCCAGAGTCAGAAAAAACACTTTGCTTAGCCAGCCAGGAAGTTGTAGTTCTTCCAAAAAATGATAATTTCAAATTTGAAAATAAAAATAGATCCCAAAGTAGAGCAAAGTTCAGGATTTTACTGCCGGCTGATTGTTCAGTTGTGTAGAAGGGGCAAGGACTTCTTTTACTTGCGATATTTCCCTAGACGAGTCTTCTTTGAGACAGTTTGGAGATGCAGTCTCCCTAATGGCCTTCTCTACACTCGGAAATGTCTGTAGAATTATGTTTTTATTCCATTTTTTCTTTCTTGCTGATCTCAGAAAAGAGAGCTTGCAATTAATTTAGCATGCTCCTTTCCTAAAGCTGTGATAGGACAACCTTTTTAAAAATATGTTTCATAAAAATGTTTTAAAAATACAAGCCTTCACTTAAACTAGAAGCCACCTATTTGGTTTTCTATTGCAATCAAAACATAAAAGCTAGCTGAAGGACAGATGTAGGCACATAAATCAACTAAGGGTTGGGATTTGTCATGTTTGTCTTAACAGAAGCAAAAGGAAAACACAATGAAAACTGTAAATTACGTGTTTGAAAGAAATATGGCTTATTCTGTGGAAGAAGCAGTAATGACACAAATGGAAGCCCTATACCATACAGAAAATTCCCATCACTATCAGCATCCATTTAGTGGTCAATATAATGCTCATTCTCTTTCAAGCATATCAGCAGTTCCTTCGTTTTCAAATTGTTTAATGCATGCCAGTCTGATGCTCACATAAAAACACACCTCATGAAAGGATGACAAAGGTTTAAAGGCAGTATAGTTAAGAACAGGAAAGACAGTCCTCCTTAAAGAGCCTGCCTTAGCAAATCCAACATTTTTAAAGATTTTACTTCAGAACATGAATGTCAAGAAAGAAAATGTGAAAAATGGCCCTTGCCTTGATGCCTCAAACACACAAATAAAATAACTGCCATTGTGACTACTGTCAAAGCACAAGGTATACAGCTCATTTACAGCTCACCTTTGGACCTTGTCTTCCTGGATATCCTGGCAATCCAGGTACACCAAGCTTACCCTGCAATAAGAAGGCAGTGATAAACTTTACTTTGTCCTCCTTAGTGGTTCAGCAAACTTCTATCGAAAATATTTTTTTCACAACTTAGAGTGATGATACAATTAAATCAAATTCTCATTTTTACTATTAATCACCAGCAGGTTTAATTCCCCAAACTTAAATAAAAATCCCACTCCAATGAATGAGTTCAGCAAAGCCAATACCTCAGTGTCTTCTTTTTTCCTTCCCATGAAGCTCTGCATAGTGATGTGGGGCTGAGATCATTAAACTATTAATATTGTCTAAGAAATCAGGGTGTTAACAAGTTTAAGTGAGAAGAAATCCTTTTTAGTTTATACTGTGTGATGGCTGCTTTGTTTTCCACAGATTTTTCATGAATAGGCATTTGAAGAATAGATTTTTTTCCTGAATAGTTCTAAACTTTGAGACTATGATAAATCATACCCCACCGACTATTTGCTGACAATAGATTTGTCAACAAGTATTACCAACTTGCCATGTTCAGAAAGGACAACAGGATGAGCAGTTTGATCAACACTGACATTAACCATTCCTATGAATTAAATACAGCACCCTACCCCATTGAGTTAGTCTCTTCAGACCTCTAGAGGATGAGTGATGGTTTGCCACTTTCAAAGGCAAGGGAAAGCAGTTTCAGTGTTTGAAAGATGGGAACTCTGAGGGAGAATTTGCCTATCTCCCTATGTTCCAGACTATCACATTTTGGAGAAGATCTCAATAGAAAAGATATGATTATACAATATAATATGGTACTCTGCAGTAACCTTAGATAATGAAGAAGAGGAAGGATATACCTGTATAGGGAAGGAAATTTGCCAAAATAAACATGTCTATTCATAAAAAATGCAGCACATGAATAAAGGTGTTGTGTACTATCATATTCATGTAAGTGTAGGTGTCTGGCTGAGACATTATTAAAGAAGAATTCTTCGATTTATGAAAATAATTATAATGCTGCGTTACGTGCCACACTGAAATAAGGTGCACACATTACAATGATTGAAATGTTTTGCAGCATGACAGTGCATCAAACTCTTGCCAAATTCAGTAAAAATTTTGTCTCTGATTTTATGATTCAGCAAGCCCAGTTGCCTAGGTTTTGAATGTGGATATGGATGATTTTTTGATTATAAGCTCTTTTCTGATACGTTCCTCATTTTTTGGCACTGTACTTGGCATTTCCTTTACCAAGCAAATCCAGCCCTAGACCCACTTTGGAAAGAGTTCTCTTATCACAGGATCAGTCAAACATAGAGAATAAGAATCTGGTACTTTTATTACTATGGAAGAGTAGTACCTTTGCATTAAATAAGTCATAGGAATGACAAGGGAATTGTCAACATCGGGTCTAATATTTTTTTCAAATATCTTCTAGTTAGGGCTTCAGATTCTGGACTTGTGAGACTGTAAGAGTCCCATACATGTCATAGTGAAGAAGAAATACTTGAAAACATAAGCCTATATTCACAATGAGTAATTTGAATATGAAGAATTAAAAATAATTCAAATTCATATTTAAAGACTAACAACTATAAAACAAAGTTTGCTTCAGTTTGGCTTACTTTGGTTTTTTTACTTAGGTTATAAAGTCTTGAGAAAGATGGACTATTTTGAAAATGTCCTCAGTCAATTAATTATTCTGCAGACACCATGACAACAACACAAATTTTGTAAGATTCCTAATATTCTTGCATTTTTGTCAGGTCAGCAATAGTGAAAACAACCATTGCCATGAAACATACAGTTCTTTCTGGAGAATACAAATATACTGTGGGTGAAGGTAATATGAGCCTTATTAGATCAGATTGTTTTGCTAATCTAGTTAAAACTGAGTACACTGGCTTTCTGGTGTGAACTCAGCTTGCATTCGTGTAGGAGAATCATTCTGAGTTTCTTTTTTTATATGTTCTTTGGTTCATGACATAATGAATCCATTCAATGACTTAACAGCTGTTGAGATAGCTTGCAAAATTGTGGAGAACATTAATTCATAAATAATTCCCAACAGTTAAGTAAACCTGAGAGTAAATCTTTTCTGTAATGAGTGGATATATAATTTTCTGAGAGTTTATGAATGACATTATGCTCAAATTATAACCCTAACATCTTACTGATGTTCTACTAATGACATACTTGCAAAAAGTAGCAACTTTTGATGAAAAGAGAGTTTGTTCCCAAATTTGCTGAATACATTTTTTTCTTCCTGGTAAAACTCTTAGCCATGAATCTGGTTATCTTTTTAGCAGTACAACATACTTATTAAGATTTCAATATATACTTTGAAAGACTATACATAGATAAAAAGACAGATAGAATAATTAATCATGATGTCAGATGGGATGTTCCTGGAAAATACTAACTGTTCCTATTTCAAAGACAGCAAAACTGAGAAAGAAATGTAAAATGGACCTTCTGTCCTATTCTTTTCAACAAGAACAAGCATTAAAGCCACAGTTAACCAAAAAATTAAAAGGGAAATATTTTCATCAGCATGTTCTCACTTTAGTGAAATATAGTATACACATTTCTCAACCATCATTTTTGTTTTCTTTTATTTTATCATTCTTTCTCAGTTGTCCAAAATGCCACTGTTGAAATCACCTTTCTTTTCTGAGGCTGTCACCCAGTCAAATATGGTACCCATACACACAGTCGTCAGACTCCTTTCCTCCTCTATATCAATCTCAAGTGTTTTTTGTTGAGGACAGGATTCTACAGTGACTTGTACTTACCTTTGTTCTTGTTTTCTCCTGTATTTCATGTCACCATCCTTTTTTTCAGTCCTCTCTTTTAACAGCCCCTTTCACTTTTGCCAGCCCTATTTTGGATTTTTATTTGGGATATATTTTCTGTTCAAAACGATCTTCATGCCACAATTTGGCATAATAGGACTCTGAATATTAATTCATTCTCCAGCAGCACCTTTATCCTCCTTTGTGCCCAACTATCTTCTTTGCATTGTATTTTCCTTAGCTGGCATGTACTGTATGTAATTTGGGATAAGAATTTAGCTGCCTTATGTGCCAATGAAATACTATAATGCCTTTCTGTATACTTACAAAATAATGATTCCCAATACTTGTTCAAAAGTGAACTCCAGTGGTCTGCTCCAGTAGTGTCTCAAAAACTACTGTTAGGTAGCTAAAGATTTTGCAGATGTGGAGGCTTGTTTTTTGAGTGATGAAGATCATGGGCTCCATCTATGTTATGTGGCAATGACATGTTTATGTTGATGTCTGGCTACTGACCTTTTCCCCAGCTGGACCAGCAGCACCTGGGTCCCCAGATGGACCTGCTCGACCTTTTGGACCTTCTGGACCGTCTTCTCCTCGTGGACCTGGCTGACCAATTTCTCCCTAAAATACACCACCTTATAAATATGGAACAATGGCCTTTGTGCATATATTAGATATACTACCTACAATTACTTGAAAATAAATTTTCAGTAAATGTAAATAGAGATTAGTATCATAGAATCATAGAATGCTTTGGGTTGGAAGGGACCTTTGCAGGTCATCTAGTACAACCCCCCTGCAATGCACAGGGACATCTTCAATTAGATCAGGTTGCTCAAAGCTCCATCCAATTTCGAATGAGGAAAATACCACTGCTTATGTTCATTGCATAAATGCATATACATATAAATTAGGCACTGCATATTACTTTCACAAATGTAAGAGCCCAGTTGCCTTGCCTGAAGAGAGCTGCATTTGGAAACTGCATATTTTTATTTTTCCTTCCCTCAATTCTTGTGAAGACACTCTGACAGTCCATAGAAAGAAAAATTCTGTATCTAAGTACTCATGTGGATACCATCTTCACAGTTATTCATGTACACAGGCAACAGATACAGGCCAGGAACCTCTTGTGAGAAGTTTTTTTAGAACCTCCATAACACTTCCTATGAAAGGAAGTAAGTGCCCATTGGGCTAAATAAACAACATTCTGGCACAGATTTGCAAGATGCTAGGCTGGAATGGAAACATCTTTATCCTGGACAGATTAATTTTCCTCAGGCAAATATTGGAGATCTTGGAATCTAGAAAAAGAGATTCCCTAGGAAGAAGCTTGGTGAAAAGGATATCCAGGACTGACATCCTCTTCCTCTTTATAACTGTGCCATTGTTGATTCATAAGAACCAAATCTCTGGCTGAAATCTGTGCATGTGCAGGGAACAGAAATAATTTAAGCTACTAGCTTTTTTTTATTTTTGGTTTAAATTTATCTGTTCATTTCAGTGATTCTTTCAAAATAATAAAACTTAAACATTTTAAGAATATATGGGCTATGAACAAATGCTTACCCTGTCACCTTTAAGGCCCATGTCACCTTTAAATCCTGGAAAACCATCTTCACCCTAAAAAAGGCAGAAATGCATGCAAAGATTTTAGTAATAGAAAGGATTATTTTTTTTCTGCAGGCAGAATAAGAAAATATATTCAGTACAGATTAAAATAATTTGCATAGATAAAGTAAGAACTTCAGATACCAGAAAATCTAATATGGCTATTGCTGTTTTAGGAAAAGTATATCAGTGCGCTATACAAAATGACTTTTTAGTTTGAAAGTCTCTAATAACAGCTGTTTAAAGCTAGTTAAAATCTGTTTAAAGATAGAGACAATATAAGTCTTCTGTTTTATTATGAAGTATCTTGCAAAGGCCTTTTTAAACTCCTACACTTTTTTTTGTTATCACTCTTTTTAATAAGGTCATCTATTCAATTAATTAAAAATTGGTGGCAAATTATTCAGTGTTGTTATTTTCGATAGCAGAAATTCCCTTTTATTTAATTTTTCTTTTGAACTAGTGCCTTAATAGTATCATGAAAGAAATCAAAAAATTGGCTGGTTGTGACATCTTAACAACAACAACAAAAAAGACGTATCTTAATGTTCAGAACCTAAAAGAAGTAGTCATCTTTATATAGTAGTTCAATGTACAGCAATACTCAGCCCTGCCTACTCTCATTGGTTGATGTGATTGAAAGAAAATAGAAAAACCAGTGGGCATTAAGACTGAATCCATACACAGTGGCAAAACAGGTGCACATTATTGTTATTCCTAGTGAGAATTACTTATTTACTGCCTAGTAAATCCTGGCAGAGTATTTACTCCAAGCATTTTAATAGGTCTCCATGCCGAAGTACAAGCAGACAGTACTCAGACAAGTTTCATTTACAGCTGTATGAGTTAGTTCAGATACAAACAGAAATCTCCAGAGTTGTTCAATGGAGTTGTTCACGACTTGCTGTAGCATAACGGATTAGCTGTTGGTTCCCTTTTTCTTAGACTCATCATAGAATCATAGAATCATTAAGGTTGAAAGAGACCTCAAAGATCATCAAGTCCAACTGTATACCCAATGCCACCATGGCCACTAAACCATGTCTTGAAGTGCCACGTCTAAACGTTTTTTTGAACACCTCCAGGGATGGTGACTCCACCACCTCCCTGGGGAGCCTGTTCCAATGCTTAATGACTCTAACAGTGAAGAAGTTCTTCCTAATATCCAACCTGAACCTCCCCGGCACAACTTGAGACCATTTCCTCTTCTCCTATCACTAGTTACCAGGGAGAACAGACCCACCCCCACCTCACTACAGCCTCCTTTCAGGTAGTTGTAGAGGGCAATAAAGTCTCCCCTCGGCCTCCTTTTCTCCAGACTAAACAACCCCAGCTCCCTCAGCTGCTCCTCGTAAGACTTGTTCTCCAGGCCCTTCACCAGCTTTGTTGCTCTTCTCTGGACATGCTCCAGCAGCTCAATGTCCTTAGTGTAGTGAGGGGCCCAAAACTGGACACAGTATTCAAGGTGCGGCCTCACCAGCGCAGAGTACAAAGGGGTGATCCATTCCCCAAACGCAGAGTACAAAGGGATGATCACTTCCCTAGACCTGCTGGCCACGCTGTTTCTGATACAGGCCAGGATGCTGTTGGCCTTCTTGGCTGCCTGGGCACACTGCCGGCTCATGTTCAGCTCTCTGTCGACCAACTCCCCCAGGTCATACAACTGCTGTTCCAATATCCAGACAACAAAGTTTGTTGACTGCATTTTTATTTGATGCTTAGTTATATTCTGAGAGTAAAGGTCTTTGTGATGAATAAGCACATAGTAAAATGTTTTACTATGATGCTGTTAGGGTTTTTTATATGCTGAAGTAATATTGCTGACTTAGAATCTGAATAATATTTGGACTGTCATTAAAGCCAGGAAAGCAAGATACTGTGCTCCACATTACTAAAAAAAAAAAAACAAGAAAGGCTTTCTATTTCATCCTCACTTTGAAAAAGAGATTTACATTTTGCATTCTTGGGCCCACAAAAGCTGTATCTTCTCCCTGATCAGCAACTGAGAGAGATTGCAATGCTAAATCATTTTTGACTCTGCTCAGAAGTAGTCATACTACATGCAACAAGTAACCCTAGAAAGGGCGATAGAAATAGTGGTAAACAGCTCAAGATAGGTGAGGAGACATTAAATTTTAAAAAAAAAAAATCTCAAACAAGCAAATATAGTTTCTCAATACTATGTGTTCATGTAAAAAAAGATGAGGTAACCCATTGTGAGTCATTGGAAAAAAAAAATACTAAAAACCATTTGAAAAGCAGGTTTCCCATGCTTTCTAGATGGTGAAACTAAGATTTATATGGTCATTTTATATTGCATAAATTAAAATTTCAAGGTGGTCTTTCTTAAAATTCAGAGAGAGGTGAAAAATTTAGAGTGCAGAATACATGAAAAAAGCTGTAGTTGTAAAAGTTGCTCAGTTATGGCCATGGACAGTAATAATTATATGAGAACACTTTGCAACATATCAGCAAGGACTGACCACGTGACAACTACTGACCAAATAAATTGCTGCCAAATGAACTGAAATTCTTCAGCTTTCACAGTGAGGTTCCAGCTATTGAGATCTACAAGAGGTTGATTTTATTCCATGTAGGAGGAGAGAGCTGAATGCTCTATTTCCTCTTCTGCTGTTAACAAAGAATAAAATAGCTGAACAGTTCTAGTCACATTTACTGGTCAGTACAGAGATGGACCTCCTCTGACATCCCTGGGACCATTCCAGATCTACAGAGGCTTTCCTGAATGATTAGTTTATTTATTTCTGTCTCTTACAGTGCTATCCCCCATGTAATGGCATTGAATAATTTCAGTTAAAAAGGCCTCTGTAACAGAGCTTTAAAGCACTGTGAGGACAACCTATGAAATATCTTTGTGTGACCTGCTGAGGTATTCAGTAGAGTTCGGTGTCTTACTGCAACTGTGAGATCAATATTTAGGAACACAGAAATATTGTGGAGATTATGCTAATCAGTATTCATTGATAGACACTTATATACACACACATATATTAAGCTTATTTATATGCGAGTGCTATATTTTGTCCTAGCTGGATATTAATCACACAATAAGGCACAAGAAAGAGCTGGTTTTTTGAACTGTCCAGTCTCCACACATATTAAACACACTCTTTTTCAGCTTAGATTTAATGAGCAACTCTAAAATGAGTACGCAGACTAGACAAACTGTGGTTTAGGAAAGCCTGGAAATGTACAGCAGCGCTTGGCATCTGAGCCTGAAAAACAGATCTCTAGTGCTGAAATCAAGTCTTTTTGGCAAGACTGAGTCTTCAGCTTTAGAAACAGCTATAAATGCATACACAGTAGCCACCAGAGCCACAAGGCTGAATTTGCCTGTGTGGTCAGGAGGTATGACTGACGGTGTTTGTCATCTGTCTCTCATTCTGAGTGCTGAGGAAAGTGGGAATATATATATAAACAAATATATATAATATTATAATATAGATTTATATGTATATAAAATATATATAAATGTATATATAATATAAACAAATATATAATAATCAATACTGGCTGTAATTTCAGCCACTGCAGACCATCAGAAGTCATTAGACATCACAGTAGTTGGTGTTTGTTCTAGTAAGACCTCTATGTATAGAATTAATGGTATGAGGGGGATGTAAAAGCTTTCTTCCTGTTCATGTATATGCACCTAACTGGGGCTGTCCATCACTTTGGCAGAGCCAAAGATCTGAGACAAAAATACCTGGAACCTAGAAAGCCATTGGAAGATGTACATAAGAAAATACAAAATCTAGCCCACACATCTATCAAAACAGGTAAAATAACAGTATCATCACCACAAATCTCTCTGATGCACAAGCTTTTCAGTATCAACAAATCTCTGTGATGCACAAGCTTTTCAGTATCAACTATAGTATCTACTAACAAGAGAGGGGATGTCTAATTCTCTACTTAAGAGCACCTTAGAAAGAAGTTACTTAAAGTGGCACAAAGAGGATCCAAAACCATTCTAATAACTGAAGCGTTTTTTATTCACTTTGTACGAGTGTAAATAACCATGGAGATCACTGATTTATGAATTGGGTTTGGTGTGTCCTTAGGGTAAGGCAAAAATAAACCCACTGCCACGAGAGAAAACGTGCTGCAGTGAAGGAGACAGAAGACGTTGCAGTGAAATAAGGAACACAGTAAAAAGGGAAGGAATTAAATGCAGTCACATTTACCTTTTCACCTTTGGATCCCTTGAGACCACGGACACCATCAGCTCCCTAAAGAAAGAATATAAAGAATTGCACGCATGCATATATTCAAAAAGGGGTGGGGGGAGGAATCCAGGAATTAAATCTTACCTTTACACCACGAGGACCTGGATAGCCAATTGGACCCTGAGGACCTGGAGGCCCCTAAAATATATTGGAGTAAAGAACCTTTGTTTGTACAGCACTTGGTTAGCAAGCAGTTCTCTTCTGAGTCTAATCCTTGTTCTTTCACTATAATGCCGCAGTCTTGTGTGAGACATCAAAATAACAGTGGGCTGCCTGCCACTGAGAAAAGTCAGGGCATCACAAAGCACCCTTCAATGTCACTGTAAAACTATTAATAGAATTATGAACTTGGTTCTACTTGTATATTTGGGAAACATCTATCCACAATATAAATTATCCGAAACAATGGTAATTGGCAAATGTAACAAACAAACAAACTAAAACAAACAAAAAGATGCCAGTTAGAAACCAGTGGTGTCTTGCTGGAGAACATATATATGTTAATTATGATGATGACATAAGTCAAAAGCAGAGATCAAAATAATGGTAATAATAAAAATCATGGTCTTTAAAAAAATAAAAAAGATTCCAAACCTGAAAGCTAGAAGGCTCATGGTGCTATCAATACTGACCAGTATTTAGATGCTGTTATTTACAGTTTGCTGAGCATTTTAAAGATGCTTAACTTAAATACTATGCAATCTAATGGCAGTGTCTAAAGAAACTGAGTTCTCTAAACAGTGGAAGCAAGGAAGCCTGGAAACACATAACTCTGTCTAGGCTGAGTGGCTTTGTTGATTCTCTGATGTCTGAGATGGACAGGTAACAAAATCTAAAGGGCCATTGATAAGGTCTTTTTCCCCTTTCCAACTGTGTCTTTTCACAAAACCTTTAGACTGTTAAAATCTCTGAGCAATAAAATTTTCTCTCAAATTTGGCCGAAATGAATCAGTAAATTCAAAAGACCTAAGGAACAACTGACAGATGGTCACACACATGTACTTTCAAAACATAAATGCTTTGTGTAAGCTTTATTTTCTTAAGAAATCAGGATAAAATCTACAAGCCTCTAACAGATAATGATATTTTGGACAAATAGTAATATGCTGATATCAGTAGAACTGTACTTTCTGAAACGAAATGAATAACATTCATTAATCCTATTAATCCGGAATACAACCTTTTAGTACTGCCACTGAAATCAAAACTGAAACTCATTCCAGGTGCTATAAAGGGTGCTATTCTGGACAAATACGGGTCAATATTGAGCAAGCAGAAATCTTTAATGAGACCTAAAACCCTTCAGTGCTTCATAAAGAAATAAAGAAATTACTTTTCACTGCCACTGACTTGAAGGTGACCTAAAAATCCAATGCATATGCATGCATTTGTAAATCATTAAAAAACAAGGTTCTTAAGAACCCTAGTGGGTACTCTATATAATGGAATTGTAAACTAAAACTATTCACGAGTTATTTATATTAACTGTATGCAACTTTTACTGATTGTCATTCTGTCAACTCCACAATCAGTTTTACTTTAGAAGAGTAATCTCTATATTATTTAGAATCTTTATATTATTTAGAATATAATAAATACATTTGTCTGCACACAATGTTTTGAATGCGTCATGGGTTTTCTGTTATCTTCCCAAATAGTTCTTGGAGTAACAAATTTGTCATAAAGCTGAAAAACTGCCAAAAGTTTTCTTGAAAGCTATGTAAATAAATGGAAAAGTTTTAAAACTCACCAATGCACCTTTATCTCCAGACTGACCCTCTTTGCCAGGATGACCCTGATTTAAGAGAAATGTATCTGATTTAGAAAATACTTATTTTTCGATAGTGATATTTTATAATAAAAACACAATTATTTTAACACTTGAATTTCAGGTCACTAATCATTCTTCTGTATTAGAACACACCAACACAATTTTAAGGAAAGATTTTCCTTTCAATACCTATTTAATTTAAATAACAAAGGAAAAGCTGGACAACAGTTATGTTTATTAATGTTTTCAGGAATATCCTGATCACACCTTCTGTTTAGTTAATGTTTCAGCAGTAAGTGGTTTTTAATGCAAGATACTCTCAAATTTTATTTTGAAACAAGCAGGGTGATTAATATTACAGCATGAAGATATTCCTAAAATTATTTAAAAGATTATGGAATTTATTGCAGAAGCTGATAAAAAGCTGATCTAGTTTTAATGTTCTGTGTCTTTGTTTGAAACTGACTTGCTTTTAAAACAAAATGTTTATGTCTTAGTCTTTGTTCTATGTCACTGACGTTAATAATGCAGCACTCAAAACATTAACCAATCCACTGATTTTCTTTCATACAAAATTTACACCAAAATGTTGCAAAATTTAAAGGCAATAAAACTAAAGGTTAATAGAAGATTATTGTTTATGAGAATCAGTCAGGTATACTTTTTCTAGAGGAATGCTTACTAGGAATGCTTACTAGTATGCTTACTAGAGGAGAATACTAAATCTCTAGTTTTGCCAAGCATGTTGTCCCACATAACATGTAGCCAGTTACTAAAACCATTCATGTTTTGGTGTCATTGACATATCAAAACGTTTTCAGTGCGTCAAATATGATATGACTTTGATGTGGCCGTTAATCTTATACGACAAACCCCTGCTGCTTATATTCAATTTTCTGGCCTTGGAAAACAGTTTAAAAATATGTTATTTATTAAAAGAATTATTAAAATAAAAAGTATTCGATACTTGCTTACCAGTGATTGTTAATTTTCCTTTAAAGAGTTTGTCTTACTAACATTGAATTATTTGTTACTTGTTTTTTGAAACGTACCTGTGTCAGTTGTTTAATCCTAATCTCCCAGAATATGCTTTCTTGTGCACAAAATTTTAAATCACCAGCCAGTATCAAAGGTGTCTATAACATTAAATGACTTTAAAAATGCTGCTATTAAAGAGCATATTTGTATCCCTTTAGACTTTCATCAATTCCAGTACAATATACCACTTTTAACAATGTCTCACCTTCAAAATGGAAGGACATTTCCTCACATAGAAGTGAAATGAAATAGCTAGCAAGAATTTTCCTGATCTGAAATATTACTCTTGAGCTTCCACCTGATCTTAACACAGACATCATGGGAGCAGTTACGAAGCTCATTGCAATCAGGAAGGTACTGCTCATTGCCTTCCATCAATAGTGTAATTCTATGGTTATAAATAGGTCATGTCAATTAGAATGGACTTAGTTTAACCTGCCTCTCCTGCCCTTCCTCTGAACAAACCTACTTGTGCATGAGGGAGATAGTTTTGTGTAGGTGTACTGGGTCTGGCTGGGATGGAGTTATTTTTCGTCATAGCAGCCCATATGGTGCTGTATTTTGGATTTCTGACTAAAACTGTGTTCATAACACACCACTGTTTTGGCTGTTGCTGAGCAGTGCTTGTACAAGGTGGAGGTTTTCTCTTTGTCCCATTCTAACCCCTCAGTGAGTAGTAGGCTGGTGGTGCACAGGAAGCTGGGAGGGGACACAGCTGGGACAGCTGTCCTAAATTGACTAGAGGGATATTCCATATCATATGATGTCATACTTGGCAATAAAAGCTCAGGGAAAGGAGAAGGAAGGAGGGGACATTCACAGTTATAGTGTTTGTCTTCCCAATTAACCCTTATGTGTGCTGAAGCCCAACTTTCCAGCAAGTGGCTAGCCATCTGCCTGCAGATTGGAAATGGTGAATGAATTTCTTATTTTGCTTTGCTTGTCTGCATAGCTTTGATCCACTTATTCAACCTTTGTTGCCTCAACCCATGAGTTTTCTTGCTTTTGATCTTCTGATTCTCTCCCACTGTGGGAGGAGTGTGCGAGCGACTGGGTGGCTGCTTAGCTGCTCACTGGGATCAACCCACCAGAGTAGGAATGTATATCAGGTGTATATCAGACCTGTGCTAACACCTGATTATCTCTTACAACATTTCCCCTCTGCTTTTAAGGTTTAACAAGATGCAGATTTTAAAATAATGCTTACATTTGGAAATTAATATTGTTCCCAGCATGGAGAAAAAGATAAGGGGGAAAGTTCAAATGTTTAGACAATGATTCAAGATATAGACTTCAGCTGGACTATCATTGCATATTTAACATTCTCCATGAAAATGGTACTTTGGAAGGTAAAAGAGAGATTGTGGGAGTCCTGGGTACAGTTCTGTATTTGTAATATAAACATCTATGCGGTGAAACGCCTGCAGTCAGTTCTGTTGTTCTTATCCTAGCAAAGCTCTGCTGAAAGTCAGGTTTAAGAAACACAGATTTAACCTAAAAGAAAAACTGTAAGGGAAAATGGCATGGGGAGGAGAGACATGGTCTGAGAAGTTACACTGACTGTGTGGTATAAAAAAATGATGGTTTTGATGCAAGAGAACTAGTGTATATGCATGTGATTATGAACAGTGATTCCATTTAAGTTTAATGCCTGAACTGCAAGCACTGCTACTGAGGTGGTTACACTCTCTGTTCACGTGAGTGAATGCATCCTCAGAGCTAAGCTGAATCCTTTAGCGATCACAAGATTCTAAACTTTGGCTTAGGTCTGTCCCAGCGTAGACAATGAAAGAAGAAGCCCAAACATGTAACACGCACCTTAGATCAGGAAGCAGAGAAAGATCTAGTCTATTCTATATTTCCTCAGAGAACAAGTGGTGAGCATTTTTACAATTTGCTTTGCCATACTGACATAGTAGGACTACAGTGAAACAGTATCTGGCCCTTTGTGTGTCAATTAGGTTATTTACACATCCCTGCAGATGTTTGAGATGCATTTCATCATCTGGGACCACATTTTAAAAGCCCACGGCCATTTTTAGCAGCTGCTTCAAAAATGTAATTCTCTTAGTTTTAACAGCTCAAATGATACAGGGGATTTAGATGGATTTTATAATGCTGTTGCCAACTAGGACTACCAGTGCTCTTACTTTCCATTTTCTTTTTGCAACACAGGTATCCAGAAATATTTATTACTTGGTAAAAGTATTTAAACATTCAAGGGATGAAATATTTGGTTACTTACAGGAGGCCCATCAGAACCAGGAAGGCCAGGAAGGCCAGGCTTGCCTTGAGGTCCCTAAATACAGCAAGAGAGACACATCTTAAGAACAATAGTGAACATTCTATCATTTGCTAGGGTGATGGAGGATCATCCTTGCTGAGGACTGGTATGCTGTAAACTAGCAAACTACCTTAAATCTTTTCAGTATTTTAAAACACCTGGTGAACCCACACCAGGTGTAGAGTAGTTATAAGAAACATAATAAGAATTTAAAAAAAAAAAAAGGAAAGAAAAAGAAAAAAAACCCAAACACCCATATCCAATACATTTGACTCTAAGAGGTAAGGATATAAAATGTAGTTAGACCTAAATCCCTTGATATGGATATCAGGGATAAACCAAAAATATAACAAAACTAAACCCAGAAAGATACTATCATACAATATATAAGTGCAAGGCTAGTTCTTACAATCTTTAGCCAGTACAAATCACCAATATTTTTCAATGAGATGCTTGACTGAGAACAGGCTTCAGGAATTACCCTATGAACAGGCAGATATACCACATAAGGTGGGGAAGAATTGTCCAGTGTACAAGATTAACTGTTATTTAGAATTTCAGGAATAAAAGGATTCACCATGTGAAAGATACCAAGAAGAACAAGAGGCAAAGAGTACATGTTACAGAACTCCAGCGCTCATAGCTGAAAAGCATGGTCCGTCTTTGTGAAAGCCTCTGGAATAAGTATATCGTGGACCCGGCCCATTTTGCTACAATAATACTTCTTAGGCACACAGGCAGGTAAAAAGCATGTATATTCTTTCCTAAAATCGCCTTCAACTTCTCATAAGTATATACTAAACAGTGAAGAGGACCAAAATCAAAGAAGAATCAATAGAGCAGGAATTCAGCGAAAAGGGAAGAAAAGTAAAATTAGTGTAAAATTCAATAGTGACATTTTTTAAATTAACAGAAGACACATTTTAAACCACAAGAATGTGTATAAACAGATAGATCACGAAAAAAACACCAAGTGACACTACAGTATGCCAATTACACTGCAGAGTTATGTCAAAATATAATCCTTGAAAAAAGAGAACAGAATCAGACTTGAGTAGGTAAAACTTTGTTATGAAAAAGAGATTAATAAAAAGAATTTTCACAGCTTGCTGTGAAATTAATTAGCATACAAGTACAAACTGTTTAATATTGTAGATGGAATTCTGAAGCTAATAACAGATAATTAATCAAAAATAAAAAGAGGAAATTATGCTTGTGAAAAAGTGGCTATGACAGGAAAGCCAGACCTCCATTGGTTATTGATTTACTTGATGATTTCAGGAAGATCTGCTAATTTTTAGATCTTAGTTTACTGTTCTGTAAAACATAGCAAAGCCCTTAAAGCAGATAAACAAGGTTGTTGCACAGAACTGACTGTGAAATAACAGAATAATGCTGTAACTTACTTTTTCACCAGGAGGTCCAATAGGACCTTGCGGACCAGGAAGCCCCTATTAAAAAGAAACCAGTGTGAGAAACCAGGGAGAACAATATACATACATTCACCCTACTAAAGGTCTCTCATTAATCTGTTTAAACACACTGGCAAATATAAGTGGCTTTTTTCCCCCCTTACGAGTTAGATCAGGAGTTTTGTGTGAGCCTTTTGCACAAGCCACTATTCTGGCAGCAAGTCGGTAAAAAGATCCTATTCAGAACCCTCCAGGTGTGGCCGTTCCTGCTGCATTCCAGGAACACTGAATGAGTCATTTTTCTCCTGAATGAAAAATCCCTCTGAAAGCTTACTTGAAAACTCTGCTCCGGCTGCCCTCTGCACATTTGCAGCATTATTTATAAAACCCTTGAAGCTTTATCAGTTTTGCACATGAAAAGCTAACCTTTTAGTAATTTCCATTTATTAAACATTTGCTGCACATTACATCGTATTTCTTCAGAGTTATTTTACACTTACTTGTGGGCCTGGAATTCCTTGCTGACCAGGAGGTCCTGGTTCCCCTTGAGGACCCTACCATGCAAAAAAATACCAGGGCATTAGGTTTGCATTTCTGCACTACAAATCTTCATTGTCAGGACTAAAACGAATACAAACTCATCCTTGTTCCTCCCTCTTTAAAGTCTACCATCAACTTTCTATCTAGTATGATATTTTTTCATGCTAATGAGTATCATGGCCTTTTCTTTAACAGAGAACAGCCCACACATAGGACCTAAGCACTGGAGTCCATGGTGCTAAAGGAGCTTGAAAGAAAGCATGGTTAGGCCTTTTGGCTGAAAACTAAGTAATAGAAAGCTTCTCTTTTTTATGTAAAATCATCATGAATCTGAGTATTTTGACAGAAAAGTTTAATTAAATGGAAGGGATGGCATAGTGGCAGGGACAAGAGAATATGAAAAGGATTCTTAGAGTCCAATCCCTTTTTAATTCCCAGCTTACTTACTCACCATGTTTCCTTTTGGGCCTGAAGGTCCATCAACACCTGCAATGCCCTGCAACAAACAATATAAACACAAGCAACTTTCAGTGGATTTTAATTTTTCTTCTGGAAATTGCAAATAAAAAACAGTTCATACATACAGGTTGTCCAGGGGGACCAGGTGTACCCCTGGGGCCCAGTAATCCTCGTGGACCCTGTAAGAGAAGAAACACTTATTAACACTTGCATGATTTTTTCTGAACAGAGAGATCCAGGAGCAGGACTGGGCAAGGAATGTCATAAGGAGTAGGAAGGATGAGGGGAAGGCAGCATGGGGGTTGAGGGAGAAAGAAAGAAAGGAAGAAAGGGAAAAGATCACTGACAACAGATTCTCCTGAAGGCCACCATATGTCTGAACAGAATGTCAGTGGAAGGGCAAGCTTCGATTTAGCCACTGTATGATCATTTCAGAGAAAGGTAGGAGATAACTATTTGTATTTCCTGGTGCAGAACATTGGCACAGCACCTTCCACTAAAGTTTCAGCTGTGTCTTGGCCTGAAGGTCTGACCTGAATAATAGCACATGTTTGTATTCCTGTCTTTAGAAAACATGATGGTCTGTTGCACTCTATACTACTATCTTAAGTGTAAAACAGTGCTTTTCTCTGTGGTAAAGATCCAATAAATAATTAAAAATTACTAATAATTTTATTATAATAGATGCAAGGCATTCTGGAAACCAAAATCAGATTTTTTTCCTCTTACCTCTAAAAATTTCCACAAAAGACCAAGGACTATTCTCCTAAATAAGATGAGCAGGATTTGGTCTATAACATAATCTTTTGGCTTTACAATATGTAAATGAATATTAATTTTCATCATTTGTGCCATCATTCATGTCACACTGCTAAAGTAGACAGGACTAAGTCTCCAGTCTCCTCATATAGTCACAAATCACTAACACTCTGACTCTGTAGTGACTTCTTCCTACTTTGCGAGTTGCAATGGTATATCATACATTTAGGGTAAAATTCCCCTTTCTGAAGCTTGATTTCTTGCCTGCAATGCAGAACTCTGCTCTGCAGTGACAGCACCTGCAGAATTCCAACTGCCAGCAGAGGAAATTCTGTATGTGAAACAAGTGTAAAAATGCACAATGATGCATGGTAGTGTGAAAAAAGAAAAGAAGCCAGGCCTTATTTTCTGATAAAGAGATGTTTGGAAAACATTTTCAAAGCAACAGGGGCTTGGCTATATTTTCATGTATCAAGGGCTGCAGTGACTGATTTTACACAATAGGATAAGAAATAGCCTTTGCAATTCTGGAAGTTGTGTGTACTTGGCTGGATATATCCCTGACTTCATTCTGATCCTGTAAGTCATGTTTCACCCCTAACAAAACTGTTCATTTGTTTGGTTTTCAGCCAGAATCAGTAGTCTCTATATACACACACATGCAGTAATTTTTATACCTGGAATTCAGAACAGCTTGACAGAAAGAAAAAAATCTGAGAGTGACTTTTGTTTGTAATAGAAACAAAAGAATAAGAAAGCATTGCTTACAGCTTCACCTGGGAGGCCTCTTGGTCCAACTTCCCCATCTTCTCCCTGTTATCGTGTGAAGAGAATACAAGTTTTAGAAAAAAAGAACATGCATCATGACCATATTCTCGTTACATGAGGATTCATTCTAGATTTTACTGTGTACATAGCAACTTACTCTTGATCCATCTTCACCAGGTAAGCCAGGAGGTCCCTGCGGGCCACGGTCTCCCTGTAGAATAAGGAATGTCATTAAAATAATACATCTGTTGCTGGAAACAATAATGGATGGGAAGGGAAATGAGAACAAATGGTTAGTTGAAGTCTGATGTGTCAAAACATGTCTTGACACAATGATACAAATCTGTAGGTTATAGTACTCAGTGAAGTCTTTTATTACATTAGTATAAAAACAAATGAACATTATTGAAATAATGAACTATTTGTGTTTGTAAAATTTCACTCTGCAACTATTCTTGGCCCTAGAACATACACAAACGACTGCCACAAAAGGCAGTGTTACCCACATTTTCCTTTGTCTCATCGGCACCTTCCCCCTCCCCCTACACAATATATGACTGCCAGTAAAATAAGGCATGTGTACATGGGTCAGAAGTTAATAAACCAATTGCTGGGCCCTGGAATATACATAGTGAAGTTCACTAACCACCTTTCAGAACCATGCACCCTGGCACCAGTCATTGAGAGCCTTGGGACTGATTTGTCTGAGGTTTTGGAAGGCAGCCAGACTTCTACACTTCCGCACAGAGGTTGGGGCTTTTCAAGTCTATATATGCAGAGCCTCAGTAGATTCTGGACCATACTTTTAGGATTTATTTTTCTTTTCCCATTTCTAAAGGGAACTAGTGTGCTACTTAGCTTAAACACCACTGACTGACCTCTTTCTGGGCAGTAGGGTTTTAGACTGTGACTTCCTTCTGGCACTGGAAAACAACCATCTATTCATGCCATTTTCCTTAATTTTATCAGTGTCTCCAAGGAGCCTGACCACTGCTGTGGATCCTAGCAGAGATATATGGAGTCACTCTTTAGTGGCTCCATTCTTTACTCTTTCAGACTTTCCTAGGGAATTTTTGGTTACTTGCTCTCTTAGCCCAGAGCTATCTAACACTAGGGATGTCAGGATTTAATTCTACTGCATTTCTGTCCTCGATAAGTTGGAGTCAGCGTGGAAAAGAAAATTAAATTCTATGAACTGCACTCTCATACCGTAAGATTAATTAATACCGCAGTTTTTATATTTTGCTAAGTTTTGGAACTACTTAATGTGATCTGCTGGTAGAGCATGTGTTTTTCTACATGCTAAATGACACTCCTGAAAGATGACACATGAGACACATGATCTGTGCTCTGGCTTCCAATTATTATCCAGTTGAAGACTGACTTAAGCTTTCACATATTGAAATAGTTCAGCCCCTCAAGGGCTACCTTTCTTGTCCTGCAATCACATGGTACTTCAATTAAGAGCTTGCATTCAGTGTCCTGGTATTGTCATGCAGTAAGAACAAAACTTCCTATCATTATCAGCATTTTCAGTTCTTCAATTCTCTAATTCTTTTCTTCAAATGTTCTGTTAAACCCTGAATTTCTTTTTCCTTAGACCTTTTCTTCTAGTATATAGTGTCTTGCTTTTATACTGGAGAAGAGTTATGCATCCAGTAAATCTAAATAAGAAAAGTTCAGTCAGAGATACTGAGGTTAAAAGGAATATTACAGCATGTGGTGGCCTGATCTTCCCTACATTGGAAGTCAGGGAATCTCATCCTGTAACTCCTGTTTGACAATTTCTGTTTGACAATTTCTGTTTGACAGAGGCATGACCTCAGAGAGAAATCCAGTTTGCAACTCATGGTTCAAATATGACTAATTCTAAAAGTAGTCCTAAAAATTCTACTCTAAAGTTATGGGGTTTCAATATCATTTCTCTTACCACAGAAACATAACTACAACACAAAACCTGTTTCTCTTGTCTTTCTTTCTCTGCTCTTTATTGCAAGCCAAAGAGAACTGAATATTTCCATTATATGCTGTCAGTATATATGAATCCCAAAAGCTAGAGATGTCTGATCTGGCTTTGATTTGAGCTGCTTTCAGAAAGATCATAGTTTGTACTTTTACAGAAGATTTCAATAGAAACATGAGAATGCAGTGATTTTTAAATAGTGGGATGAAAGAAATGATGAAAAGAAGTAATTATTTTCATTACTATTTTGCAAATTTCAACCCAAACTTATTCTTCTATTTTAGTTTTTTTTATTTGTTTAGGAAATATGAAACAAATAGTATATTTACAAAAAAAATATATTCTTTATGACTTGGAAGGTCCCACAGACAGACAATTCTAGTATTCTAGGTTGGAAAGCAGACACACATTCCCTGACTGAACCAGTTCCTGCTTAGCCTTCAGAGTGAAGTAGTGGCAAGAGCTTAATGTCTAGCCCCCTCTGCTGGTCACCTGCTCATCGAGCTGGATTTCAATTACGTGATGCGCTGATTGCTTTACGCTCTTTAAGTGAACGGGATGACGAAAGAGGATCAAGATATTTCTGTATGACACCAGAAGTTCTTTTTCTTCCAAACAGAACTCGAAAGAGTATCCTTAGTTGCTGTTACAAAGAACCACATTATGATCCAGCAGCCAACACAGCTGAGATTTTCTGGGAAGTGCAGCAACTCTGCTAATCCATTGAAGGGTGAGAGCTATAATAATTCCTTGGTCATCAAGTTTTAGCACATATGGAAATGGTTCTGTTAACATTCCCACTCACTGTTTCTTTTATAGTGCATTGCACTTACCAGGACAACAGTAAGGGAGGTACATTCAGTAAAGTATGTTGTTACTAGCATCTACATAAGGGGTATAATTTAAAGCAAAAATCCCCCGCTGTGATTATTTCTGCACTTTGTAGGGAAAAAAAAAAAATCTTATAGATTAGTATGCCATAATGAGCAAGCACATTATTATTTTTAAATATTACTTCAAGTTCTCCTAACTTACCTGACTGATCTTTCTTTAAGCTACAGTTGTTGGAATAAACCACACTAAACAATTCAGTTTGCAATTCAAATATTCAAATGAATTTTTTGAGCAAGCTTCTCAGAAAGTAAAAATTTGTCATGCTCTTGAGACAGAAACTTCATGCTAATTTCCTTTCCCTATTACTATTTCCCTTAATGATCACTTTAAATCCAAATTCCTTAACCAAGAAAAATTAGAGCAAAGCCTAGCTGAAGATGTAATCTGAATTCTGAAAATATATTTAAATCATTTCTATATATATATGAATTGCTGTCTAATGATTAACATTACTAAAATGTTTTATGAGGAATATATTACCTGACAAGACAAATATTATTTTGTAGCGTGAAAAGCTACATTCTGTTTTAACTTTCCCCATAGTCCTTAGTGCTGAATACTGCATTATTTCTGTGACAGTACCAATTTGTTGTTGTATAAATATACGTGTTTTTCTTACCCTGTTACCTTTGTCACCAGGGAGGCCAGGAAGACCATCAAATCCTCTGTCACCCTAGGAAAGAAGTCATCACAGCTTTAGTAAATGACTATTACATTCTATATTACTCAGAATAAATTGTGCCTTCCCTCTAAAAGTTAATTTCTGCCCTTGGTTACATGTACACTTTTGTTATTGAATGAAACACATGGAGGAGAGCACATAGATCAAAGTCACAAAATTTTCTTCTATGTATCAAAGCAAGAGAAGATGGTACACCAACTTTTCCACTGTGCTGTAATTACGCTATTTATAAAAAGAAGTCTACAATGAAATGAGAAGCTTGATTCTAGCTGCACTTCGCAGTTGCAAAACTGACTTTACTGATACTCTGTAACTAGAAACTGACTCGGAGGGATAGGAATCATGCCCCAAGAATCAAGTTACTTCAAGGTCAGACTACTAGCCACTACCATTAATTACCATATTTTAAATGGATGATTAATTCTCAGCTCTTGCATCTGATCCAGCTATCTGAAACCTCAGTATTTTCACTTGAGAGAATTTTGGTTTGGCCTGGAAAGAACTGTGGTACTTACATAAAATCTGTCTAGCCTATTCCAAGACTGACCCTCATGTCTCATTATTATTTACCTTTGCACCAGGTTCTCCTGGCATTCCTCTGGCACCATCAGCTCCAGGACGTCCCTGCAAAAAGCCAAAGGGGCAAACATTTGAAAATGCAGTGGAATCAGTTAATATTTAAATATATTTAAATAGAAACTATTTACCCAGAGCAAGATTGATCTATATGCTACTTACCCTTTTGCCAGCTTTTCCACTTGGACCAGGGGCACCTTGAACACCACGAGGACCCTGAATTTAAAGAGTGTAATTCTTAGAATCACATTCATGTCAGCAAAAAGCTAGCTAAACATCTCACCTCAAGAACAACAAAAGATTTTTTTATACACAAATCTGCATTTTTCCCCAGGAGGTTGACTCTGGTTTCCAAATTCCCACTAGCTTTAACACAATATGAGCGTCCAAACTGGCCTTAGCACTACCGATTTTAACACTAGTTTTCATGAGATGGCAGTATACGTGGCATAATCGGTCTTTTTAACATAAAAGACTCTTAGATTCTTTTCACAGCTTTGAAGATCTCAGTCCTGTAGTTTGAAAACCTTTCATGCCAAAATTATTTTAATCACACAATAATTATTTGATGAAAACTAAAGAGTGCTTATTTCAGATCCCTAAATCATACACAAACACAAGTTGTGCTGGTAAACAGCTCACATGCTGTCTTAGCTTTACACAGCACAGTTTTAACTAGAGGGAGACCAAATTACCCCAGACTGAAAAGCCTAATTCCACCTTTCAAACACATGTAACTTTCACTGATGACTGTGTGGGCATGTTTCTGTGGAAGCTTTCTCATCCCCCATCCAAACACATCTTCTTCAGGTAAAAACAGCAATAGTAAGGACTAGCCACCCAAAAACACTGAGTAGGAAGAGAAAAAATGCTAAAAATATAAGCAAGCAAACTGGAAGACTGAGCACCTGTTCAGACTGCTTTTTTGTTGAATTGCTGTATTTTTCCTCTGCAAATATCCATGTGGAGTTTTAAGACAGGCACTTAATTATGTAGAAAATCAATGATACCACTTGAGATTTGGTAAAATCATTGTTCTAGAGACTCCTATCATGATTTCTATAAGAACCCCCTATTACTTTTAGGTTTAAACAGAAAGATTTCAATGTGTTTCAGTGCTCTTTAACATCACTGCATAGGAGCTGATATAATAGTAAGCTGAGAAGAAAAGCAGGCACTGATTCCTAAAGTCTTATTCTTGCTATGTCACACCTTTCTTGAAAATATCCTGTTTAATTACCAACTAAATTCAACCTCCCTCACCTTTTGAGATCTGATGAGAGCCCAAGGTCATACAATTGCAGACTGACATATAATTATTTAACAGAGAAAAGAGCCTGAAGTGACAATATTCAAGCAGGTTTTCAAATGATGACACTCTACATATGATAATTGCTCTATTATACAAAGATTGTTACTTTCATATTTCAAAATGAACAATCAAGCTATTGCATTTAGTTAGGATAGTATTGTAAATGCCGTTTTTCTTCAATTGTATGTGGAAAGCATATCATTCATTGATTTCTTCTAAGTGATATGAATGCATTTTCTTAAAGATAAACATGCTTAAACATAACAGGAAATATTATTGTACCTGGGGACCTGGTTCACCACTTTCACCCTTAGCACCTGCTGCTCCAGGTCCACCCTTGATGAAAAAAGCAAAACAGATTGTTTAAATATACAAAAAACCTCTTTAAATTAATAAGTTACTTTCTATTTATATACATGAATTATAGGGAGAAAAAACAAGCAATCCTCTATTCACCAGGAGGTGTGAATTTACCATTTGAATCTGCAGATATACCCTGGTATTGTCTAGACACTGGGCCTAACTGGGTCAAAAATCTTTCTATTACCAAAGAAAACTCCCAGCGATTTGAGTGGGATCAATAGTAACCCTTTGTTCTATATTAATATTTGAGAGCTAAATATTAGCACAGTAAGAACATAAGTAATGTAAACAGAAGTGCATCTGCTATAGGGAAGGCAACAGAAAAGAAAGCCACCTCTTCTTACCTTTATCTATTTCTGTGTTGTACAGAAAATAACAGTCTTGCAGTTCAAGCCAAAGATCACTATAGTCAACCAAAAATACCCTGTCTAATCTTGTCATGAACTTCAATGACGTTTTAATCAAGGTCTTTGTACCTCTGGCCCTGAAGAAGTGGAAGTTCTATATAACTGCATCTCTTTACTATTATTAAATGATGATAAAGATATTCAGAGTAAGTTTTACTCATAAACAGACCTAAACCAGATCTTCATCCAGGGTGAGATACTGTGCATAGAATCTGGGGCAGAACTAGTCAAAGTAAGTTTGTGTTTTCTTAATAGTGGTCTCACAAAAATAGACAAAACAAAACAAAGAATCTTGACATGCTCACATAGAACACAGGCTCAGTGAAGGAACATACTGGAGTTTATTACTATGGGCAAAAGAATTTTTGTGTTTCTGACCTCTGAAACACGTAATGACTAAATATATGTATTTAATATGAAACAAATATTGCAGACCTTGGAAAACTGATAATCCTCCTATATTGACCATAGTGACCATTCCAGGAAAGAAGTGGTCTCATGGCTTGGCTTAGTGCTGAGTCTAGGATCCTGGAGTGGAAAGATGCCCACTGACATTGCAGGTATTGAATCAAGTCCTAAGCAAACTGAAAATCAGATCCTGAGCTAGTGCTGGCAGTGGAGAGAACAGTGGCTTTGGTAGGTGGTGACTGTCTGTTTGGGTTTCCTTGATTTAAACTCTGCTTTTAATTAACACAATTGATTACGTTTAATATCTGTAGGCAGAAATTTATTTTGTATGCTATGTTAATTAAACATGTGAACTTTAGACTCAGTTGAAGCTAGACTGGGGCTTTGACACTGCTATGTTTAAGACTTTCAATAACTGATATGTTTCTAAATGTATCTTCTTGGCTACTAAATTAATTTAACAGAATACAATTCATATTAGGAGTAAAAGCTCCAACTATTTCATTCTTAAAATATGCTAAGCACACAAACAATTGACAGACCAAGAATCTCTAGTTGCTTCTGGAACTGTAGGCGAAAAATGTTGCCAGATCAAAGAGTTGGATTTCTAGAGCCTCCTGGTGGCTTAGAAGCAAAACAACTATTAATATTCATTTATTGAACTTTGCATACAGATATTCATGAAGGTTTTTAAACCATGAAAGCATGAGTACGAAGCAAAGTTATACCTTCACTAAAGGTATACAACCCATTGTCAATATTATCCTAATCTTTATAAATTATTTCCTTGTTTACAGCAGTTCTATAGTTATTTTGTCTATATAGAGTGAATGTTATCCTGCAGGTCTCCTGATTTAAATACACTGCTAGAAATAGTGTATTAGTTTGTTAAATAGACCAACATGTTTGAATATTTGTAAGTATTGCATACCTAACCATGATCAATCAGGAGTCTGTGAGCCAAATTCTCTGCTTGGTAGTAATTGTTTACATGCTGTACGAAGATGAGGCAAAGCACTACCAAGCCAACCGAGAATACAACTGACAACAGTTTTAGTATCACGTGGCTTTCAGGAGTCACTGAAAAAAATGTTAAGCTGCTAGGATCAGGGAAGGACATGATTCAGAGTATTCCTTATGCTCCCTAAAATATTCATTCAACAGTAGGTCCCAGGTCTGCCTGGGTATTCTTTGTTAATAAAAGTGGTCACTGAGGCAACCTTTCAGTTGCATTGTGCTGCTACAGTTATACACAGTGAGATGGACAGTAACCTGCCCAGTATTTTCTGTTGGTAGTACTAGGATGCTATACTCATGTTTGTCCATCTGCCTCTCCTGCTTTCAAACTGACAGACACTGTACTTTAAGGAGGGTGATGATGAGAGGGAAAAAGAGGAGGTTGGAAGGGAAGGACTTGATAGTTACTGTTCAGTTATGTGCTGTTGCTGAAGCATCACACTAAAGAAGGAAAGAAGCGCAAAATAAGGGAAAGGAACCATATTTCTTATATTACAGTCTCACTACTTCTAAATTATGACTAAACCTCCACAACTGGGATGACTGGAAGGAAACTACTTTGGAGGAAAATGCTATTGCAATCTGGGGCAAGGAGAAGACCAGATGGCCTCCAGCAACTTCTGATGCTGTTTTCAATGTATACTGCTATAGTTGTGACTGGCATATCTCTGCAGTCACTTTTTCTTCACACAATAAACTTGCTTCATCCTTTTCTCTTGGTTACCCAGCAATCACTTGTTTTCATTTCTCAATAGCACAATTGTATTCTTGCCTCTGTTTTACAACTAAATGCTTGTCTGAGCTAATGAAAAAGGTTAACATTACTCTTTGCACTCATCACCATAATGACAATATAAATAAAAATTACAGCAGACATAGATCAAAATTTAATAGGCCAAATATTTGCCAACCTAGCTGTGCCATCACAGTAGACAAAATAAACTTCCAAATTAAGTGGATCTTTCAAATATGGATGCTGTACCCACTGTAGAAGAGAATTTCACTCTATATCAGAGGATAAATACAATCACCTGGGAGAAAGTTAGAAACGACTAGTCTTCTCCAAAGCTTATTGTCTTGGCTGCAGCATTTCTTATTTTATATCATGGTACAGGTGCTTTATAATAGCTTCTTGAAAGATAGTAAATGCTAAATTATGCCATTTAGTGGACTATTAAGTCTGAAAAGTATCCATTTCCTAAAAGAGGAAATTGCAACTGCAAGACTGATCAGGTGGTTTTGGCTTGCAGGGCCTCCTACCTGGTTTTATTCTTTCATTGTGAGTATTGTCCTTTTAAAGAGGCATACCTATTTATTATCCAAAAGTTGTTTTGCATGTGATCAGAAAAACTGTTGTGTTCCATGTATAGACTTTGCACCGATATTAAGCTTTCTTAACATTCACGGGGCCATTTTCCAGATCATTCAGTACTAGCCATCAAGCCAAATTCAGGACTGAAGTATAAAAGTACAGTTCTTTTAGAAATCTGTATGGTTCTTAATTGCTTATAGGAATGTCTCTTAAGAACTTTCCAGATTCAGCTTAAATAGTGAGCCGAGGTCATTCTGCACACTGTTGCTTCAGTACCTCCGTCTGTAGAGTTTTATATTTACCACAAGAAATTTTATAAATATTATTACAGAGATGACTGACTGTAAAGGCATATGTAATTATTTACGCAAAACTATTCGCTAGTTTTGTAAGTCTACCAGTGTGCTCTATCCAAATACCCCAAATTCTACAATAAAAACTGATTTAGTATTTAGGTTGCATTGCAGACCTCGAAAAGAATACAAACTATGGCTTTAATTATACCAGTTTCTTTTCAAATAAAATAAGTACAAATATAGAGGTGTAGGCAAGGCCAGAATGAGATCCATTGACTTGAGTTACTGTGTTCTCACACCTGTGCCCCTGTTTTGTTTACATACCACAGGACCCGGTCTTCCAGTGAGTCCCATGGGACCAGGTGGACCTCTCATAGCAATCTGAGAAAACAAACAGACCAAAACAACAGGTATCAAGAAAAAGCTGCCAACCAGCATAAAAATCCTATATTAATACAATTTCATAATTCATTAGCAAATAGGCCCCATCATTGACTCAGCTGTCAATAAAGATAACTACTGTGATGAGCTGATCCTTAGAGTGCTTTACTTCACATTCTGCATGATATAAAATGGAATTCCTTTTTCAGCTGTTCCCTTGTGGCAGTTTTGTTTGCAGCCTCCTTGTGCTCACCCTGGCTTGCTGAAGAATAGCTTGTGCTTGAGCTTCTTGAGCTGAGATTGTTGGGCCCTTCTCACCGTCTCCACCAAAGCGGAACTGCAAGTATCAAAACAAGAAAAGGATTCAGAATTTATCAAATTAAAACCATACTTGTTATTTGCTGCAACTGTGTAAACCACTTCAAAGACACAGGGTCTCAGTCTTTAGTTCATTCCACTAACTTCAGAAGACTGCTCCATTGAGGCCACTGGATCCAGCATGAATATTGTCATTGGTAATACTTTAGAACTGAAATGCAAATCTAACCCCTTATGAGCAAACATTTTCCTGATTTCAAAGGATTTTGGTTTTCATTTTGTTTGCTTGTTTGTTTGTTTCAAAAAGAGGCCAAAATAGACTAATTCTCTGCAAAACCTCATTAAAAATATGTATCAAAATTAATTACTTCTCTGTACATTGGTAGCCACCCACAGAAAAACGCAATGCAATTTAAGGCAGACTTCAATTTGAAAAATGTTTGGTATCTAAAATGAAGAAGTTTTGTGTAATATCTGACATTTTCAAAATAAATTACAGAATAAAATTTAAGTACTCATTCCTGCACTCTTGGACTGTTATTGCCCATGAAACTGCTAGCAGAAGCTTTGCAATGTTGCAGAGATGTTAAGCTGCAACAAGAAGCATGGCTTTCCAAAGGTATGGCATAGGCACACTGGATATCAGGGCCATGAATCTTTCACTGCTCACAACAGTTTGTTCAGTTTGTCTTCGCCCAGAGTTGGCACAGTAACTGAGGTCTTTCTCCTGCAGTCATATTATTATCAGGATGGAAGGATGTTTTTGGAAAGACAGCGAAAACTTACTGCTCTAAGCCTCCACAAATGAGCACCTAACTTTTTCTAAAATGAGAGGATAACTACCAAGCATTCTGCCATTTGAAAGGAGGCAAGGTGGTTTGTAGGGATCCGCATAATGTGGAATCAATCACATTTTCAAAATGTTTTTCCAAGCAAAAACACCTAATTTCATTCTCTTGCACCCACTGAAAAGGTGAACCCATTTTTATAAATTCAAGCCCACACATGATGATGAAGAGCCACACATCCCACAAAAGTTGTCTCCCACAAGTTACTTGGTGTTTTGAATGTATCTCTGTGAGAAGACGATCTGCCACTGCTAGATCCAGTTCTATCTGTTTACTCCTTGATACCAGGATGGCTCTCAAGCTAGTGAGCAGGTCATCTGTTATAAAAGGATAGTGGCTTCTCAGTGGGGTTTATAAATGTGGAAAAGAAGTCCGGATGGTGGTTAAACTATTAGGCTGGAATTTGGGAGACCTGAAGCCAATTTCTTCCCTCCTGAGAAATTTCTGGTTTGACTTGGTAAATCACTTGCAGTGAGACTCATTAACATCTAAAAATAAAGCTAGTGAGATTTTTCCAAAGTGACAGATAGGTTAAGTATTAGTCACACTTACTACCTTTAATGGAGCAAACTGATAAAAGATAAATTTTCCTCTGCTGGCACAGCAGTTACAGATGTAAGAGTGATTTGGGAATAATTCCCCTAAGGAGTAGTGGCATTTTCCCATCAACTAATTACTGGTAAACAAGTATTTCTGTTATACAGCCAGCTATGGTAACAGAACTTGGTGCAAGCATGAGGTCAAAAACAATAGCTTATTTTAATAAACTTCCATTGATTGTTTCATAAATAGAAAACAAACTTTATAAAATCATCCTTTCCTCATTGATACTGATGGAGTCCTGCCTCCTGCATCAGAAGTGCAGCAACTATAGCTCCGAGACTTTTTACTTACTTTGCTTTACTTACCAAAAATACTGTCCCTTCATTTATAGTTGGTTTATCAATTCTCTGGGATGATAGTACTCATCAGATCTTTCACATACACACATACACTTAGGAATAATGAATTCCATGCACATAGTACTTTTCGTACCACAACACTGCAAGATACTTTAACAGCTTTGGGCTTGTTCCTCCACCTGCTAAAACAGATGGTGTTTTGCTTTGACTCCAGTGGGAGCAGAGCTGGCTATGTGCATATATTTCTGTTCAAAGGATGCACTGACTCTTCAAAGAGGACACTGAATGGAATGCTTAAAATTCTCCATGTCAAAAAGACTTGAAAGCACACATGCCTGCTGGGAGTACACGGGCTTTGTGCAACAGCAAACTCCTTGTTTAGGACATATAGTAGCAAACAATAGTTACTGTTGAAAATGTAAGAAAGATTTCACTAAGTGTAATACATTCAGCAGGTTTCAATCTAGCAGCCATGCAGGAGCTAAAGCATATGTTTTGTTTGACGAAAAAAGTACCATATGATCTTCAAATGTATACACCATACAAGAAACTCTGCATCATCTCTCATTCCAAAGACAAAATCAGACGAAAAAAGAAAACACTTATACATTTCTTGAAACACACTTCCTCTTTTTGGAGGCTGGTTACCCTGTAATCATAATACAACTTACTGGCAACATTAACATGGTTCCTGGGGGACCTGCTAAACCATCAGCGCCAGGGAGACCTGGGCGACCAGGTGGACCCTAAGAGAACAAAGGGATGAGAGACAAAAGGATGAGAACAGAAAGTTAGTTATATAAGATACACCTTTCGAATCACTCACACACAATTATACTTGTATTCATATTGATGCACTTACAGAATCACAGAATCATAAAATTGTTTGGGTTGGAAGCGACCTTGAAGATCATCTAGTTCCAACCTCCCTGCCACGGGCATGGACACCTTCTACCAGACCAGGTTGCTCAAAGCCCCATCCAGCCTGGCCTTGAACACTTCTCCACAACTTCTCTTGGCAACCTGTGCCACTGCCTCACCACCCTCACCATAAAGAATTTCTTCCTGATATCTAGTCAAAATCTACCCTCTTCCAGTTTAAAGCTATTACCTCTTGTCCCATCAGTCCATGCCCTTGTAAGAAGTCCCTCCCCAGCTTTCTTGTAGGCCCCTTTAGGTACTGGAAGGCCACTATAAGGTCTCCGTGGAGCCTTCTCTTCTTCAGGTCGAACAACCCCAACTCTCTCTTCATAGGAGAGGTCCTCCAGCTCTCTGATCATCTTCATGGCCCTCCTCTGGACTCGCTCCAACAGGTCCATGTCCTTCTTGTGTCGGGGGCTCCAGAGCTGAAGGCAGTACTGCAGGGGGGGTCTCACGAGAGCAGAGGGGCAGAATCACCTCCCTCGACCTGCTAGTCACACTGCTTTTGATGCAGCCCAGGGTATGGTTGGCCTTCCAGGTTGCAAGCACACTTTGCCGGGTCACGTTGAGTTTCTCATCAACCAGCACCCCCAAGTCCTTCTCCTCAGGGCTGCTGTCGATCTATTCGCCACCCAGCCTGTATTTGTGCTTGGGATTGCCCTGACCCATGTGCAGGACCTTGCACTTGGCCTTGTTGAACTTCATGAGGTTCACATGGGCTCACCTCTCAAGCCCGTCAAAGTCCCTCTGGATGGCACCCCTCCTCTCCAGCGTGTAAACCGCAGCACACCTCTTGGTGTCATTGGCAGACTTGCTGAGGGTGCACTCCATCCCACTGTCCATGTTGCCGACAAAGATGTTAAACAGCACGGGTCCCAATACCAACCCCTGAGGAACACCACTCATCACCAGTCTCCACCTGGACATCATGCTGTTGACCACAACTCTTTGAGTGCAACCATCCAGCCAATTCCTTATCCAATGAGTGGTCCACCCATCAAATCCATGTCTCTCCAACTTAGAGGCAAGGATGTCATGTGGGCCAAACGCTCTGAACAAGTCCTGATAGATGACTTGGAGGTTTAATATTCTCTTTGCAAATGATTTGGGAATTATTATTAATTAATTGATTAATTAATTTGTAATACCATTATTAGTGAGGTAATTAAAGAAATGAGTTTGGGGAAGACATTCAGAAATAGGAAAGAAAGCTATTATATTTCATTATTTTAGTTACAAATTATATTAAAAAATGGAGTATGGAGTACTTAATGATAGGACCTCTGCTCATGATTTCATAGATTGAGCTGAGCTGAGATTTGCATTGTGTTCCAGTGTTTGTTTTGTTTGCTATAGAGAGCTAACACTGCTAATTCTCTTTAAACAATTCCAGTCGGCTTAATTTTCAAAGGCTACATAAATTCTGCAGCTAAGACTTGAAATCTATTTTTTATGAAATCTAATTCTCCCTGACAGTTTAAAAAGAGCTAAACTTTTTGTGTAAGTTGGAGTTCCAATGTACCAATGTATGTACATGACACTCATGATTATTGATCCAACATGCTGCATAGATAAATATTGCTGTTGTGACAACAGTTGGATTTATAATTGCACCTCCCAGCAATTTGCATACTGCATTTTTACTAGCTGAAGCTCTCAAAGACAGGAAGGACCTGCATCAGGAGTGCTCATTTGCCTGCTGCATGTCTGCCAAACAAAGTACTCATTCACCAGAATGACTCTCTGCAGGGTTGCAATGTCAGACCAACAAACATCAAACTGTCTTAACTGGTTCCTTTTGCTGCTCAGGAGTTGAACAAAACAATGGGAAAGCTGATCCAAAAAATGTTGGTGTTTTTTCCCCCCTTCAAGAATTAAGATCAGTAGTCTGTTACTGAGTCTGTTTGAGCTCTTTTTTCAAAAAAGCCTGAAGTATCAAAAAATAATTCCCTACTAACAACACATTACAGATAAATCTTAAATTGAGAATTTTTACTAATTCAGATGTAAAATATTGAATAAAATGTTGTACTTGTTTAAAAGAACCATTATACATCCAGGCAATTTTGAGTTAAAGTTAAAAAATGGAAAAATAATTAAATATACTTGCAAGGCACCCAAAGAACATTTACTCTGACCTGCAGTGACTTTATGCCATATGATTATGAGTCTTTGTGAAGATTAGAACTGAAAGATTAGGTCAGAAGATGAAGATCAGATTATTGAAGATGAAACTGGAGATTAGATTAGTTTTTCAATTTCTTCTTCCATTGCACTATTTTATGAGTGAAATTCATCCCCACAGTAAGTACAAGTGGGACTACTTATGGTCCTCTTCAGAAGGGTATATTCCTTCATTTCTCAATTGTCTTATACCCATTATTAGGATCAGAATGATATAATGATTTAGTACAAAAGCTGAAGCACCATAAGAGACTACAAGAAGTGGTGGATTTCTCAACTCATTGTGCTGTAGTTCTGTGCTTAAACAGCATTCTCAATTATTCTAGTACTTATGTGGGATTTTTAAAATTAAGCAATGTGCTTTTCTTGAGTGGTAATTTTCTCAGAATGTCACTTTTCTAAATTTTTCACCTAAGATGAAAAGTAGTCAGAGTAGTTATAGCAAGAATTAGAGCCTTTATTCATATACATTGATTGTTGTTTAAGTAAAAAACCCAAAGCTGTCCACATATGTTTGAAATTTAAAGAAAGACACGCTATTTCATTAGGATGGAATCTGATAGCAGAATCTGGTTGCAGAAATCTGTATTGTTCTCATGAGTTTGGTAACTCATATCTACAATTATTTATTTGTGTAACGTGTCCTTTTTTATATAAAACATGAAGTCTGTTCCATGACAGGCACATGATGTGTTTAGTCAAGAATTTCCTTGTGATGAATTCAGTAAGCAGTTAGTTAAAAAACTGAGTACTATCAGTACTTATTCCATTACAATGTGTTAAAATTCCCATTTTATAAGTTTAAATTCCAAAATACGTTGTTTAGTTAATCTACAGGAAAGAAATATGAAAGAAGTGTGGATGCTGATTTGTCATCAAGGTCAAGCATTGTTAGGATTTTAACATTATCTCATTATTCAGTGGAGTAATAGCATCTTCTTGACATCTTGTATATACAAATACAGCACGAACATGCTAGACTCGTCAGTAAACTATCATTCATAAAACTCAGGGAAGTTTTTTGGTAGCATATTTTCCTCAAATAAATATATTTATGCTGTTTTAAAATTGTGTTAGTTGTGGCAGTAAGAAAAGGCTTGTAAGAACATGAAAGACTAAAATAATAGCTTAAATTTCAATTCATGACTGGATAGGGTTGTCATGCAGTATGTTATTTAATATGGCCAATAAATTCTGTCTAGATCATATATTAACCATCAGTTTCAATATTTCCATGTGTATTTTGATTCTGCAGAGCTTGTTTTTCTCTGTATCTCTACATGTTATATATAGCTGAGGTCATATTGATTTTTTTAAAACTCATTCAAATCCGTATGAAATGTTCGTACCTGTTGCTTTATTACATTTTAAAATAATTCACATAAAAACAGAGAAATATAGACAAATCAGAACTTAACTTTTTTCCTGTATTTGCAGTACATATTTCTATCACTGAGGAAATGTTTGTCCAGATTCTCAGTTGATTTCTTCAGCTGAGTAAATCAGCCTCAGTTACACTGAAGTTTCTTAACTTATACGTATCTATTTCAGATCAGGATCTAACCCACCTACTCTTGTAGCAATTAGTACAAGACATACCATGAATACCCAGGATAATCTGTTTGTTGGCTTACCCTTTCACCAGGGTCACCTGGAGGACCAACAGGACCTTGTAGACCTGGGGGACCTGTAAGACCCTATGGAAAAAGAATGACATTATTATGTTGAATGCTTGCAGTAATTTTAAACTGTTTTTTCTCTGGAAAGTTATGTTGAACACATATTTGGATAAAATAATTTATAAGGCAGCATACCTTTTTTTCTTACAAAGATTTATAGTCAACATTCAAAAGTTTGATTTTCATGTGCACTTAGCTTGTAGCGTGCTGTCACTGAAAATGCTGGAGATGACCCTTTTTTACTCCCTTCTAAAAATGCTAAGTCCAATATACCATTTGGGAATTAACACGATTAATATTGGTCCTATGATAACTCATGAATTCCAATGCCCAGTGGATAAATCAAATGCAATAAAAGGAAATTGTGATTAATCTACTTACAGCAGGTCCTCTTGGTCCCGGTGGTCCCTCAATGAGCATACCCTGGGGGGGGGGATGAAATAAGATACTAAATTTGTCATGTCTTGGAGAAAAATATAAAACATCTTTAACTGAACTACTGAAGTTAATATTTCTTAGTTTCTTAGTGTTTTGATAACCTTTTCTGGGGATCTTCTCTCCACAGTTACTTGAATTGGAATCTGAACTGTTGTGTGGCTTTAAAAATGAGAAAGACTTCCAGGCTGGAGGATTTCATAGTACTTGATCCAAAATAACTTTTTTTTTTTTTTTTAATGCTGTTAAAGAATTCGATGTGAATAACTGGCTATTTCTATGTTGTTGGTCTTATAGCACGTCCTAGTTCCTTTTTTTGAGTGCAGGTGCTAGTCCAAATTCCAGGTCATGGTAAGACCTATGAATATGTGATCCTCACTTGTACTTGGCTTTCCATAGGAAGGAGGGCTGGACAAAAAAGTTTGAAGCTAGCTGTAGTGAACTACAACAATGTTGGAGATTGGGAGTGGATGCCTCTTCAGTATTATGGATGTAAACTAAATGTATGTTGCAATGTTTTAAAAAAAGCCATGCATTTTATGAGTTAACACATTCTGAGCTTCACAGATCATGATTGAGAGATCATATTCTTGACTTGTAACTTATTCATTATTGTAGTCCTTCAACTTTGGTGATCAGTAACTTAACCAAAAGCTAATCCTGGGATAGGAATATAGAATTAAAAAGGAGCTTTTGGATCACAGAATCCAGACCTTTGACATTTAGGTAACAACGACACATCACAGTGTTTTATCAGGCTTCAACTTAAACTAATTTTTTCCCTTATATTTCTGTACCTAATTTTCTATGAAATAAAAGCCAGATTAAACTTTAATTTCTATTTGGGTCAAATATGTATTTGAAAGCAGTCCTTGAAAATTCTAAGAGAGTAAACCACACTGGCATTCAACTTCTGCTAGATACTATAAAACGGTTATTTTTTTATAATCTATGTCTTTTTTAAAATTCAGTTATATTTTAGTTTCTAACCATCAAACATGATGCTACAGTATAACTTTGTCCTACTGTAAAAGCCACTCAGTTACTATACTACTATTAAAAGATAAGAAAAATTCTGTAAGCTACTGATCCATTACTGTGCTTATTACCAAGTTGTAACTTCTGAAGAAAGTATTTAATTAAACTTTCAGCAGTTTGATTGCAACAGCACAGGTTAAACATACAAGCATTTATTTAACCTCTCAGAGGGACTTCCTTGCCCTTGCTGAAACCTGTAGTTACAGTGTTACCTGTGCCTAAGCTGGAAGCTATCTCTGAGGGTCTGCCCAAGCTGTAGTTACTAAATGGCCTGAAGAGCAGATCTCTCTTTTCCTCTGTACAAGAAGCTTCTCCTTGTTTTAAGGAACATGTGGTTAGTCCTTTGTGTAACCGAAAGAGAAAACTGAACAGGTTACTGCCTGTTATCACTTTTATACTATCCACACTGTGGGCGATTGTTTCAGAGGTCATGGATAAGGTTACTGTCATCCTACCATGAACAACATGGTTTGTTAATGTATCAACAGTGTACGTATGTTACATAGTGTCAAGAAAAACTCACCCACATCTGTACTTACAGGTTCAATCACAGCTGGTTCTCCCTTTTGGCCTTTTTCTCCATAAGCCCCATGTCCAGTCACCTGGCCAGTAAAAACAGCCCCAAAAATGAAAATAAGTAGAAGGTCTAAGGACCTGGTACAATAAAGAACTGCAGTAACCTGTAACTGAAAGCTAAAGCTGGAATTGATCTGTGCCACAAAAATACCTCACAGGCACAAACAATAAAAATAAAAAAAATATTTAATGCATGAGAAATGGAAAATGCAAAAACTAAGTGCATAATTTTCAAATTGTTGGATATTGTCAATTTGCAGTTTTCCAAAGAGATGCGATAGTTTGCATCCCATGGTTTGCATTAGGACTTTGGATTTAAAATCTAGAACTTCTGTGTGCAAGTCACAAAATTGTTTCTTATTTGAATGGACATATTCTTGGCAAGTAACAGTGATTCTTCATGGCTTTCTGAGTAAAGCAAGCCTAAAAGTAAGTTGGAAAGAAAGATCCCTTGATCCCATATGGACAGTAAGTACACTTCAAGCTCCTAATTTCATTCATTAGACATCCACAATATCTAAATTAGTCTCAGAAGAATCTGTGACTTCATGGCATAAATGGGAAATGAGTTAAGTGGCATTGTAAATCTTAAATAATATTTCATGGATAGCCAGTTATGCTTCCTAACTACAAGAATTAGTATCAACTGCAAAATTCTTTGGGGATCAGCTCTATGGGAGGTTTTGGGTTCAGGATTAAGATAACAGAAGTACCTAAAACAACAGGTCAATAACACATGCTAATGGCAGAATACAGACAGATTCAAGTTTCAAACAAAGAAAAAAAAGCTGATTTTTTTTTTTCAAACCATGAGACACACATTTTTCTTCAGAAATACCTCTCTTGATTGCTAACATATCCACTAGAAATTAAATTCAGCTCTGATCAGATGAAAATTTGAAATGCTTTTTTTTTCATTTCAGTAGGGTGATTCCACATTTACAGTAAAATAGCTGGGGATTTGAAAATGTTAAGGATAATGTTACAGTATTTCAATATGAAATATTTTGGAAAGGAAAAACAGAGATATAGATTCATGATTTCTGCATTTTGTATTGATTTACAAAGGCACAGATCTCACTAGTAATGATGCAATAGTTCATAAAAATCAACTAGCAAGAGGTATAGATATTTATGTTTTATTATATTAATGAAAATTGGTTTTAAAAAATTGTTTCAGGTCTCCATGTTTGGAAATATTGGCCCTTTTTTGAAAGTTTTTGAAAGTTTCCAGGTACTGAGTACTTTTCATCTTGCCTTTTTTATCAAAGGTAGAACTTCACTTGTTCTAAATACATCCATTTGTCAAAGGAAAATGATATGGTATCTCTGGTTCAACAGATGAGAGTTGTAGTAAAGATGGCACAGGTCAGAGCCTGGGTTCTAATTCAAGCTTCCTGACTCCTTCAGTTTTGTAGCAAGGCATTTTAAGTCAAAATTTACACCAGGGGATAGAGTCTACACAGTCATTTGCTTAATGCAGGTACAAACAGTGCCTTATGGGCTCTTTGCTTTGCAGATAATCTGACCTTTTCTGTGTCATTCTGCCACAGTGTCCCCATCTGGGCTAGAAGGAAAAAAGTAAGCTTGTATCACATTGCATAGATAAGGATCATTAAAAAATACACTGACCCCAGCAGGGTTTAGAAAGGACTGATAAATGAAATACAGGAGTATGGGTTTCAAGGTTGGCAGAGAAAAGCAACTTCACAGCATTTGCTATTATTTCTTGGATCCTTTGTAAACTGAAGTTTTGAGTTTGTGAGGAGAAAATAAAGACAAGACTGAGCAAATACTGCAATGAAAATTCTCCTTTCCTCCTAATATTCAGGGCCTTCCCAATTAAAAATCCAAATGAGAATTAATTTTGCTTCCAGTCTTAGTCATATTAGTTTTCTTTGCAGCTTTCACAATGCAGTAAACTGGTAAACAAGGATCTTGGCACAACTAAAGGAAAATTAAAGCCTTGCTGTTAAGCCTGTGATTAAGTCAGAGGGAAAG